CGTCCATTCTTAGTTGGCCACCCGGTATACATATTCTTCTTTAATTAGTACTTAATATGTTTTGTTATATTCTTTTCAGAAGACCCTAAGTATCTGTAAGAGATACAGGATCGGTTAAATGAAGGCAAAGTTGCGCAATTTGATACTCAATAAAATGCCGTATTGCATTTTTATTTTTTTATTTTTTTTTTGCATAAAATATTCTGGTGATGGAATTTTCTGTACGAAACGTCGGCAAATATCAAAGTGACTATATATAGTGTTTTAGGAATGATGAAAGGATTTAATTAAATTGAAAAAAAATCAGGTCCGTATTTAAAAAAATTAAGTTGATGATGGTCGCCAGTAGCCGAAACGTCAGAGTCAATATGTAATCACACAGAGTTATAGAGCAGAGAAAGTGGCCAAGAAAATGTGTTTTTCATTTTAAGTTATCTTAACAAATAAAGCCATGAAACAATAGAAAACAAAATTGAAAATTCCGTTTTTTTTTTCGAATATATTCGGAATTGTTTAAAATGCAATACGGCATTTTATTGGGCATCAAACATCTCTTACGGTTTGCGAAATCCCAATGATGAGCGTCGAAGTCGAGCCACCCTGTACACCTAACTGGTCTAACGACCAGATCTAAATGCAATTAACATGACGATTAATTAATGTTTACCCTCATTAAGTGGTACCGCGAGCGCTGAGTAAACCTATTAAATGGAATGGTACCCAATTTCGTTCGCTTTGCTTGTGTACCAATACGGCTCTAAAAGCTTCTGGTACTGTTGTTTGCTCAAGCAATCCGGCCTAGATGCATCTGCGTCGCCATTAGATGCTGTTTGTTCGCGTATTAGTACCGCTAAGTACCGCGGCATCGATAATGGTCTTTATTATCGCGTTTGAGTCTCTACCAAGCGAGGTACTGTCGATAGTGCCTATAGAATTGAGTAAATATGATTAGATTAAATTCTTCGAGGTGGCTAGCCTTAGGTTGCATTCTCTAGTACTGTCTTTTACTAGCAACTTGGAGACTAAACCCTCCTGGAACCGCTAAAAATGCTAAAATTCTAAACTCAACAGAATTAAATATTGTTCATTTTTTAATTCTCCATCTAACAAAGAAATAATAATAGGGAGTATATTTTAGAGAGTTTGGCATAGAATTTTAAACACCCTGTATGGTTTAAGATTACGATATTTATCGCAAACTAAGTACAGACCAACTATAGTAAATACTGTTTTTATTTCAGGACATTTCTTGTATTTTTAATATATTTTTTTTAAACTATAAAAAATGTTTTTTATTTAATTATTAATATATCTGAAACTATAGAAACATATTTAATAATATCTTAGGATTATGTAAAGTAATCAGAAAGGAAGCTAAAAATGCAACAATATATAGGGTGTTCCATTTAAAAAAGTCATCTCGAAACACTCATACTTTTTTGAGCCGCCCAGTGGAAGTTAAAATATTTTCCTGAAATATATCCTACATACTTTGGGCACAAATTAGCTACAACAGATGCGAAAGAACACCGAATTACCCGTTCAGGTTTCTGTGACCTTCAGAAAGAGTTCATAGACAATCCGCATCAATGTATAGTTTGGGTTATTATTTGTTTGGGTGAATATAATCTGCACCAATATGTTATCGAGGTATACAAAAAGGTCCACAGACTTCGAGACATACGAAAAATCAAGTCCATTTAGCGTGTGTCGCAATTTTGACACCTTAAAAAATTAGTTTTTTATAGCTATAGCAACTGTAGCAACTATGAAAAAAGCTGTGTGATTTTCATAGAAAATAAGGGCACCTGCAATTCATTTGAGAATGTTATAAATCGCTAAAAGAGGTTTCAAATCTCTTGGACTTCTATTAATGTTAAATAAATTTTATTAAAAATTGAACTAAAATTGTTAGTATCATTAAAAACAATTCAAATTCAAAAACTGTATCAGTCAAATTCCCTCATTTAAGGTGAATATTAAAGTAAATATAAATACAGCTCATTCTAAGCTCTACTTATCTTTAAGAAAAATTTAAATCATTGTTGCAATTGGGCCTTAATGCCATTTCGAATGAACAATAGTATTAATAATGTACATTATAATAATAATAAATTTTATATCATAGTGTGTATTAAAACTACTAAAACACTTTTAAATTGGTATTATATTAACAACTTTTGTTTTTTAATCCAAAAAAAGTTACCAATTTTCTCAATCAAAATATTTGTGGTCCTGAAAAGGACCTTCGTTTTCCCATGTTCGACAAGGTAGGTAATAGGTAAACGGTAAAAAAACAGGATAATGAAATTTAAAAAATTACAAAAATTGTTCAAAAGTGCCTCCCTCTTGCATTAAACCAAACGATCATAAAATCCCCTCCTCACATTGGATAACATATCAGGGGTGACAGTGTCAAAGGCATTAAATATTTTCTGTCTTAAGAAGGATGGTTTTGAATTTTCAAAATTATGAATTCTCAAGTTTTGAATTTCTTCATGGCCGTAAATTTTAGATTTTATGTACCCCCATAAAAAGAAATCATTCACCGAGAAGTCAGGTGAAATTAAACGTCAGTCTAAACAAAACTGTCATTTTTGAAAACTTGTCAAAATTTAGACACACGCTAAATGGACTTGATTTTCCTATGTCTCGAAGTCTGTGGACTTTTCTGTATAATCTCACAGTAATTTAATAGATTGCTCGTCATATTATATCAGCTCGTAGATTAGGAAAAAAAAAAGATATTTATAGTATAAAAAATTAATTTATTTAACAAAATTTAATTAAAGATGTGATAAAATAGTTACATTTCTATTGGTTCTATCGGACTTTTTTCGACTATATAAATCTTTATTTTTTGTAAACTTTAATGCATAAAATATTTTCAATCTAATAAATAATTTCATGATGTAAATAAGAGGAAATTTCTCACATGGGTGGGCAAATTCTATAGTTTTCATTATATCAAACAGCCTCTGAATGTTTTCTTCAGTGCAAAACTCATCAAAATTTAATATAAATAATTTTTCCAGCCTGTAAATAAAATGAACAAATTTTTCCACTTTCATGATCAAAGGCTTTTAAATGGGTAAATAACGTCGAGTTATCCAGAGATTCGGATTCTTTTGCAAATTTTAGACAAATATCACATTGATGTATTTGAAGTCATACATAATTAAAGGCATTTTGAGTTGAAAACATTTCTCAGAGGCTGTTTGATATAATGAAAACTATAAAATTTGACCACCCATGTGAGAAATTTCCTCTTATTTACATCATTAAATGATTTATTAGATTGAAAATATTTGATGTATTAAAGTTTACAAATAAAGATTTATATAGTCGAAAAAAGTCCGATAGAACCAATAGAAAGGTAACTATTTCGTCACATTTTTAATTAAATTTTGTTAAATAAATTAATTTTTTATACTATAAATATCTTTTTCTTCCTTATAAATAAACACATTTGCATCCCATTTTAAATAAGATATACAAATTACCAAAACTTAGAAATAACAGTTCAAAAGTTCAACAAAAATCCTACTCGCGTTTTTAAAAAGAAACGTATCACCACGCACTATGTCATTCCAGCAAGCGAATACGACATAGCATAGGTTTCCGGACTAAACGACTGGTGTATTTACACCACTCAATAGGCGTGTCGGGTTTGCCGAGCGGTTTCCGATGCAGTCGCTTTCTTTCGCATCTGTTGTAGTTAATTTGTGCTTTGGGTTTACACTTATCCCAAATTCCTAAGTTATTTTTTATTATAGGAGCTGCCTATGCCCGACGCATTGTTGCCGGACCTGTATAAAGTAATAGGAAAAACTTTGAACCGTGGCAACCCCTATTTAGATCCTGTACTAATATAGTCTTAAATAAAACAAGTAAAACATAGTTGAGAACATTATTTATTAATAGGACACAAAAACATAAAAGATAAACAGAAATAAAATTACAAAACTAAAAAGAAGAAAAACTAAATCTAAACAAAAATTATAAACGAATATTTTTATGTATTTTGAAAAATAATATAATCGTAATAAAATTATAATAATGAATAGTAATAATTAACTTAAGATTAGACCAAAATACCCAAGCAAATGTTTAAAAGACACTTATAAAATATTTTTGAGTATTTTATTGGCCAAATTACACAAAAACCTCGAGATACAAGATTTCAGATTTTTCCATATTTTTTTTTTTTCATTATTAGAATATTTTTATATAGTAGACATATAATTGTCTTCAATAAAAATCAAAGACATTCCTATATAATAAATGCACAGGTAAACATACATCCATGCTACATTTTCTTAACCTAAAATAAAAATGATCTGAAAATATCATACATTTAAGAAAAAACTCTCTTCTGTATAATAAGTCAAATCATAAAAAAATGTAGTAGACAATTAATTTAGGCACATATTCATTCGAAATAAAACAGAAAAAAAAACGCCGTCGCAGTAAGCGTAGAACTAACATTTCTCTTTTTAGTTTCCACAAAAAAAAATATTGTTGTAATCTATTATTATTATTATGTATATAGATTGTCAAAGACAATATATTAAAAGAACTGAATATATGTACCTTATTAAACATTATTATTGTCACTATAACGCCTTTAGGCTTATTTTTCCTAGTTTCATAACATCCTGTATTTATTACAGGAATATATAGGATACAAAAACCATACTTCTTTAGAAATATGTATTTTTTCTTATATTTCCTAAATACAACAATGTTCTTCATGTTCAAATATCGGTATTTGTGGAGAAGAACATTTTATATTTATTTATATTTATTTTATACGTGCAAAAACTCTGATATTATTTTATTTAAGGCACCATAAAACAAAAATGTTTTATTATATCACCACGTAACCAGTTTTTTTAAACAAATTAAATGTAAAACGGGCCATACACGATAGAATCAGTCGTACGACAGTTTGTACCGTTTTGATTGACATGATTACAAGTGATAATCATGGTTAGTTATTTATATTATAACCGCCAATAATTCAGAGTTAAAAAACCAAGTGTTTTTGAGAAATTCAAAAACATTTTGCACGATAATTTTTTTTTCGGAAGATCTATACAGATCAATTCCTCAATTCTTAATACAAATAAAAAGGGACAATCTTTGTTATTAATTGTTCAGTTAATAACATCAATTTCTTGAAATCTCCCTATGCTTAAAATCTATATAACCTCTTTAAATAGTTACAGCCATTTTGTTCAGACTTTGATGCATAAATTTGTTCAAAACAGGCACAATTTGACTTATAAACTGACATCTAGAACAAAAAATGCTGAACTAAGAGTGAGGATCGCCTAAAATTAACGCTTTAACACATATAATAAAATAAAAAGTATACATGTATAGGTAGAATAAAAATAATGTAAGATATATACTTGTTTTGTGACCTATTATGTTCTCTAAAAAAAGGTGTCGCAGTAACCTTTGAAGTGAGTGTATCGCTTTGATACCATCAGTACCTGGATGATGCCACAGATGTATCAGAACTGTTGCCGTCATTTCTGTTGGCGTCACTGCCTCTGTTACGGTTGGGTCTATTTCTTTTGTAATTTTTGTTGACTCCACCCCCTCGTCCACCACCTATAATAACATAAATCATATACACCCAGAGCTACAAAGCTGACAGAAAAAAAAATTTAAAGTTAGGATAAAAAGCAACCCTTTGATTAACCCTGTATAATATGCCAATTACAAAAAACTGAATTTACGAATTGAAGTTAATATAATGGGCTTTCACTATATTTTGGAATTAGCATAATTGAATAAAGCAATTAATTCTAGAATTTTCTGCTATCTCACTTTCGAAAAATTTGAAGTCGTTCTAAAGAAAATGAATAAAAACAAAAAAGCCCAGAATAAAAATCCGCACTTTATTTTTAATACGTTACATCTGGCATGTTGAAAAGCGGCAACACGGCCGGGCCACCATGCTGACCCACCACCACCTCCACACAAGGCTGTTCAACTTTTTCCAATATGGCGGAGATAGAAGTGTTTTATTTGGCGCGTATTTTAAAACCTGTTTTATTTCCAAATAGACATTTTTCACACAATGAACTGACAATGGGGTAACTGACTAGGGTAACAGAGGCTTTGGGGCCTTTGGCCTTTTTGAGGCATATTTAATGCACTTCTTACCCGAGAACTACTAGTAGGAGTGAAATTATCTCTTTTAATAGCTGTCAACCATTTTTTATGAAGCTCGTCATTTTTGAAGAATATAAAAGCAGAAACCTTAGGACTAGTAGTGGGAACTATCGAATGAATACTATCGAAACATTCGATAGTTGCAATTCATTCGAATAATTCGATAGTTAGTAAGAAAACATTCGTTGAAAACTATTCGAATAAAAATTATCGAATAGATCCGTCATCTGCCTTGAAATATTGTATTCTAGTAATTCGGCAGCAAAAACCATTCATTTATAAAATTCATTCATTTATAAAATTCATTCATTTATAAAATTCATTCATTTATAAAATTCATTCATTTATAAAATTCATTCATTTATGAAATTCATTTATTCGTCAGGATCGATTATAATAAAATATTAACTGAATTTTAGTTGTCGCCCGGCGACGTAGGTTTTTTCCGAGAAAGCGGTCGGTGGCAATGCTATGAAAGAAGCCGGCATCTTGATTTTTGCGGAGTCATATGTAGATAAGGACACATTATTTTTTTTATTGAGGTGCTAGTATTTACACAGAAAATACATTATGAAAGGCGCTGTTGCCATATTTTTGTATTAGTTGATATTAGCAAAGAATATTATTGTTTGGCTTTAGTTAGTTAGGGATAGTATGTCTATATATTCTGCATTTTTTATTAATATTCTGTTGTTACACTGCAATAATACTTGTTATTTTGGATGTAGGAAAATTATTTTTAATGTTTTTAAGCAAAGACTGGTTTAATAAATAATAATAACAGTAATAATTTGTTATACCTATTAACAACAAAATTTAAAATCATTTAATATAAATATTTTTTTAAGTAGTAGCAAAATATAAACAACAAATTAGATGTCAAAATTATTTATATTAGATCCTATTTAAAAATAATATAGTCTGTAATTTTTTGGCAACGTTGGTTTATTAAATAATAATAATTACAGAACTAATTTGTTATATTAACAACAAATTTTAAAATCATGAAATATAAACATTTATTAATTTTCTAAGCAAGCGGTGTAATGGAAGGAAAATATAAATAAAAAATTAGAAATCAAAATTATTTATATTAGGTGCTTTATATTACTATTTAAAAATTATATTTACTTTTACTGGCATTTACTTTAAAAAATAAATTAAATATTTCTTCGCAAAAAACTACATGTAAGAGAATTAGCATAAACAAAATACAAACATCGTTAACTTTTATTTTAAATTGGCACGTGTAATATTTTCATTTTAATTTTCTCACCCCATAGTTTGAGTTCGATAACCATTTATTTAACCACATTATTTAAATATAATTATTAAGTTCCAACTAATTCATAGGTATTATTAAAACATCTAAAATACAAATATGTATTTTTAAAATTAATTGTAAGTTCATCTCATCTCTCTTAAAAATTGCTACTTCTCAAAATTTCCCATTAAAAAATAGACCATATTATACCATATAAAATAAAATAATTGAAAGATCGGACTACGGAAAACCACACAAATTATCGGAAAAATTTTGACCACCTGCACATGCACACAATCGTCAATAAATAAAATTAAAAATAACTACTATTTTAGTATTTTAACTATTTTAATAAACGCAAAAATAGCACAGTATTTATACGGCGAAGTTATAAAAATTTGGAAGAACCAATAATGCACTGACGCATACAAAATCCAAACGAATACTAAATTTCATTTATCAAAAGCATTCGATAGTCGTGGCTCAACGATAACCATTTAGTCGCACGGCGAGGTTGTCACATATGCTTTAGTTTACAAATGAATGAATGATTTTATTCAAATAAAACCATTCGATAGTTGAAATCATTCATTCATTAACCATTCGATAGTCTAATTCATTCGATAGTTCCCATCGCTACTTAGGACCCCCTCTATAATTCCTGTGACAATTTGGAACAGAGCATGTAAAAGGCATGCTACCAATAAAATGTACTATGCAGACTGGCGGCGAAGGCTTTTTACTCATTTAGGTGTAATATCTTGATAAATACTTCTAGTTCTTACCTTAAAATAATTAATAATAGAGGAGTACGACAAGCACAAAAGTATGAAGTTCCCTATGTGGAATGTCTGGTTTGGATTTTTATTACACTGTTATTTTATCACAATTTTCTGATCACACCATTCTGAACACTAAGAACTAACCAAACGTGTTGCAGAAGCATAACAAACTAGACATAATTAATCATTTCTGATATGCAATCGGAACGAGAAACCACTACCGGCTTTTCAGGTAAACGATTTAATAATGCGCTGCCTTCGCCGCCATATTTGCCTTGCCCATATCATGTTGATTGGCCTTGAGTTGAGGTGGTGCTGGTCAAATTAAATCGCAATGTTGCCAGTTGTTGGCTGGCGCCCGAGCACGGTTGTGCAATGTGATTGGGCGTATTTTTCATACGTCATCAATTGGCGCTTTAAAATTATTTCAAATTAAAGCAATTTTGAGGACCTATAAAAAATTATTCAATGTCATGGAACTATTTTTTTTTGGATAAATTTACTGAAAATAGTCTTCTATTTCAGATTTTGTCCTTGAATTGGGTATTTTATTTTTTGTGAAAAAGCCCATTATGTACAGTTTGCTAAAAAAAACATGCAAGTAGTTTGCTAAAAATAACAAAAATATAACATTTTAAATTAATGACCTCTATAATTATTGTTGTGGTTTCCTCGGTTATTATTGTTTTGATTTGGACGATTTTGGTTCCTGTTATAGTTGTCATGTGGACGATTATGTTGGTCATGGCGGCTGTCTTGACGTTGGTAGTTATCTTGTGGATGATTATATTGTGGATGATGGTAGTTAGTAGATGGTCCAGGCTGTGGTGGATATCTACAAGAAGAAAGTAAAATATGGATTATATACTGTGCAAAATGCAGTGGCTAGCAAGCATCTGCATCACAGGAGCCATCAGAAGCTATCCAATAGGAGCTATGGAGATCATTGTAGACCTGACACCACTGCATATTGTCATTTTGTAAATTAGAATGATCATTGACTGAAACAGTACTGGGAGAACTGCCAGCTTGGCTTGGTTTGGAAACAACATCAAAACGAAAATTCAATGGATTAAAATATTAAAGAGTGTATTTACCTGTCTCTATCATAATAATCTTGTCTTGGAGCGTCTCTGTAGTCCCTATAATCTCCAGAGCCGTGAGGTCGATAGTCGCTTCTAGGATCTCTCGAATCATAATACGGATATCTACCATCGTAGTGATCACTCCTTGGAGGGTATGGGTCTCTTGGAGGGTACGGATCTCTTGGAGGGTATGGATCTCTTGGATAAGGATCTCTTGCATAGTGAGCATCTCGCCGGTCGTACTCGGCATCTCCCGAAGATTGACGTTGAGTCCTTGGAGGCGGAGCATCCTCGGGATTTTTTAAGACTACGTTGACCTCAATCTTTGGTTGGTCTCTACGATCTGAAATAAAGGAACTATATTATATGGGGTGAGTCAATTTGAGGTTTAAAAAATGTCTATACCTCTGTGGCGGATTCATCTCTCCAAAAAAGTCCAAAAAATAGTTATTTTTTGTAAATACTGCTGCGTTAATCCAACGCAGACTAATAGTCAGCAGTTAGGTTTACTGATAAACAAATTTACCTAACGAACAAAAAAATGCTTAACGTTTCGGGAAGTATATATCTTCCCGTCGCCTGAAGCCAAAAAAAATACAAAGAACAAAGAAAAAAACTAATAAATCTAAATGCCACTATTCGAGAACACTTCAGTCAGGGGCGGGAAAGTGAAATAGCAAAAGCGGTTCCACCGTTTTCACGGAAATTTCAAATAAAATAGTTCCTGCCTCAGGCGCTAGGTGGTAGTGCAATTAATTTTTAGGTTAAGAAGTTGCTACTAGTTACTGCCAGATGGCGTTAAATCAATTTTTTTTTGTAGTTTCCATAGTTTCCCACGGCCATTGTCATACTACTGTCAAATTCTCAAAAAATATTGTCGTTGTCATAGCGCCAATCATAATATTATCAAATGATTATCAAAACGTTTTTCAAACTATAATTTGTTATATGTGTTTTAATTAGACAATTCCTTTTGTATGTGGCCCTAAAAATATAATGTAAGTCTATTTTTGTCATCATTTAAGTACCTATTTATATTTACTCCATTTACAAAACTTTGCGTGTATTACGTTGGTCTTGTTTTATTATAATAAACGATGTTTAAATATTTGACTTATAAATAAAAACTTTAAATAATAAATAATATTTACACTTGTTTGGCTTTAATTTTATTTACTAACTGTATAAATTATACTGTGAAATCTTATTTTTTACACATCACAACGATACTTGTTATTAGTATTGTTAAATTTGTGTAAAAAATAAGGCCCAACAATCAAATTTAATTATTTTAGACTAAAATTCAATAAATACGCTCATTTAAAAAGCCCGCGCTTCGATCCGTTTAAAACAAGCCCTACTCAATAGATGGCGCCACTTCTGTAGGACCATTTTTCAGTATGGCAGAGTCCATTCTTTTTCTAGCTAGGTATATTCTTTGACTTCAGTTTTTTTTAAACAGATACTTCTATAAAAGCGTTGACGTTCTGTTAAAATGACATTATATCTATCAAGTTAAACTTCAAAAAATAAACAATTACTACCTGATAACAATTACTTAATAAGGTAAAACCAACAAGCTTCAAACTTTCTGTATGATTTATTTTTAATTTGTTTTTAATTTTTACGTATGTTTAGTATGTTATGTTCTTTAAAATTCAAGAAACGATTGCCGATTGCCATACATTACTAACATCTACAGATGCATGAGCAATACATTTATTTTTATTAGATTGTATTAAAAAAGCCTGTTTTATTTTTTTTAGAGGTTATCTCTTCTTTCATTATAATTTTTGCGTTATACTTTTTGAGATATACTTCCCGAAACGTTAAGCATTTTTTTCTTCGTCAGGCAAATTTGTTTATCAGTAAATCTAACTGCTGACTGTGATCTTTTTGGAGAAATTTTAGTTATGTGGTTACAGATGTCAAAATATTAAAACAGCAAGTATAAGTATATAGTGAGTGTAATTAAATTGCAAGTATTACCTTGGGGTGGGGGTCCTCTGTATGCATCTTGCGGTGGAGGGGGACCTCTGTACAGGTCCTGCGGTGGTGGAGGGGGACCTCTGTAAGGATCTTGCGGTAGTGGGGGACCTCTGTAAGGATCGTGTGGTGGTGGGGCACCTCTGTAAGGATCTTGCGGTGGTGGGGGACTTCTGTAAGGATCGTGTGGTGGTAGGGGACCTCTGTAAGGATCTTGCGGCGGTGGGGGACCTCTGTAAGGATCGTGGGGTGGTGGTGGACTAGGGTAACGGCCTTGTTGATTTGATGGAGGTTGATAATGATGTCCAGTCTGTGTTTTAGCGTGTCCATCGTAAGGAGGTGGTGGACTGTTGCCTAAGGACATTTTTCAACATTGAATCGAAAAATTTAAAGCACTTTGCATAAAATATAAATAAACCTAACCCAACCAAACTTTTAATCCATTTTTTCCTTTGGTTATAAGTTTATAGCTACCTAAAATTTAAAATTTGAAGTCTGTAACTCTTCTAGAAGTACCTTTGAATTTTGATGATGTGTCGGTGAGTCAATGTCGAAATTAAAAAAAATTGACAAGCGATAATTCATAAACTATGAGGCATAATTACTAGATATTTTGGTAATCTAGCCAGCTTTAATTAATATTTTTGCTGTATCCACAACGAAGTTATACAGGGTGGTGAAAAATGCCGCTAATACCTTCGAGAAAAGGATGGTTAGTATTAATAAATTTCCTTACCTCTAGGTCTGGATCTTCCTCTATTGTTATTGAACTGTCCTCTACCTCTACCTCTATTATTGTAGTATTGTCTTCCTCTATTGCTTTGACCCTGTTTGGGTTCAACCTTTTTCTGTTCCCCTTCCGTTTTCTGATCTTCAGTTGAAGACCACGGACTGAAGGTCACCTTGTGCTTATACTCTTCGTGAGACCTCTCTTTGTTCAGAGACTTTTTCTGAGAGTCGTACAACTCCTTGATCTTTTTGCCGTTGTGTTTGAGCTTGAACAGTTCGCTCATGGTGTTGGAAATGTCCAGAGGCGTCACCTCGTCCATCAAGTTCATTTTTTTGCGCTGTTCTGCTGCCTCGTTGAATATCTTCTTCTGTTCCTGGTGCTCGAAGAGGAGTTTTTGCAGACCGGTAAGTTTACTCATGTCGCAGTCACGACCTAGGCCTTTTTCTCTGAAAATTAAAGTGATCTTGACATAACGGTGCATTTCAGTTGGTTTTAAAAATTCCGACCGCAGCGCTACATACGGCAGGAATTAGAAGTGTCCGACTAAATATACAGGGTGTTTCAAAACAAATGCGAAAAACTTCAGGGGGTGATTCCTTGTTCAAAATAAAGGGTAGTTTGCTTTATAAACGTTGGGTCAACCATTAGGGAGATATAGCTTTGTCTGAAATCTAGGCAGATAGATTCGCCTTATGGAGCTACTACCGTTATGAAAACGCTTGTGGTTTTTTTCATCTTTTTTTATCGAGGAGGGGTTGAACTACCCCTATCATTCTTGTTAATGAAATTTAAAGAAAAATCTTATCAAACACATGCAAAAAATAATAATTTTGATAGTTTAGTTTATTTAGAAACTTTTTTATCTCTTGCGTTTTTTTGATAAAGCTCACCGATTTGAAATTAAAAAATAAAATTTAAGCATTACATGTCAGGACAAAAAACATTTTTAGATAAAGAATCTAGTGGGCAGCTGTAATTTTTTTAGGAAAAAATCTAGTCGGCCGCTGTCACTTTTTAGGATGTTTCTATTATTGTTTTATTTGACATTACCCTACCGCAATACGTTATTATCTAGATTATTATTATTATCATTATTATCACTAGATTCTTAATCTAAAAATATTTTTAGTCCTGACATGTAATGCTTTACATTTTATTTTTTAATTTCAAATCGGTGAGTTTTATAAAAAAATACAAGAGATAAAAAACTTTCTAAACAAACTAAACTATCCAAATTAATTTTTTTGCATGTGTTTGATAAGATTTTTCTGTAAATTTCGTTAACAAGAATGATAGGGGTAGTTTATTTCAACCCCTTCCACTCATTTTAAAAAAGTGAAAAAATTACCAGAAAGTGTGTTTTCATAACAGTAATGCTTCCATAAAATTGCATTAGTCTATCTCTTTTCGTTTTCAAGATAAAAAATAAAAACATTATTTGTCCGCCATCTTTGTACCGCGATATCTCCCTAATGGTTGACTTTTGACCCAACGTTTATGAAGCAAACTACCCTTTATTTTGAACAAGGAATCACCCCCTGAAGTTTTTCGCATTTGTTTTGAAACACCCTGTATGTTACAGCCGTTACAGTAAAAGTTGGAAATCAGTGATTGTTAACAATTACTAGTAAAAGCTCACATTCACTGATTTGCTAAGACTAAGCCAGTAAAAGTTCAACAGCAATTTTTGATACCAACTTTGACTAGCGTTGTTGTCACATGTTGTAGAATATAAGGATAAATAAGGATAACTTGAATAATAGACAATACAAGGATAACATTAAATTGGGCTAAACGTTGGCAACATTGCCAGACATCTGGCGTAAATTCGCTTTATTTTTTGTGGTTATGTATAAATGTTTTGTTATCGTCTAATTATTTATTGTTTCTGGTTATGGTAAAGTAACATTTATACTGTAGTCTGTAGCAAAGTTTAGTTTACGAATTTAATTTTGTTTTTCTAGTTTTAATTGTCTAAATCCCTGTATAATAAATAATAGTTGAATGGATTTGTATCAAACCATCCTGGGTGCTTATAAAAGTATCGTTTACAGATTTCTCTTAAGAACAATAAAAGAACATTGCTTTTAAATAATCTCCGTAGACCATACTTTTGTTGACATCGGGTCAATTAATAATTTTCCCAAGCGGATATATTGATAATTTTACCAGTATTACCCATCAAGCAATACTACTGTTATATTAATCAATTAAGGCCGTAAATAAACATAATATCATATACAATGTTATATACTAAGTCATTATAATAAAATTGAATCATAGAAATATTGTAATTATATTCCTGCAGTTTAATTGAAAAGTTTTGTTCCTAAATATCTACTATACCTATAATAAAGGCGTGTTGAAATATTAATTCTGTGGAATATATATCAATATAGCATAAAACGAAATATCATCGTAACAACAGCTATTTTAGAAACGTCTAGGTTTACTTATTTCACTGAGATTTATGAAAAAAAAATCCTTTGCCTCCGGTAGAGATACCGCCACGTTTTGGGAATAGCTCAAAACAAAACAAAATTGAACGAGGCAACAAAAAACGCCAAAAAAAACCCTCGCCATCATCATGAGTAGTTTTCATGCGCTTTTAAGAATCGAAAGTAGGTTGAGGCAAACCGAAGTGGGTAGTGGTACAGTACGTCTGCTCGATCTGTGTCTATGAAAGGAATGCGGACAAAAAACATTTAGATAAACAGCAACATATTTTATACGTCGACTTGACGAGTACGTCACCGCAAATCGCTCCGCCCGCTCATTTTATTAGCTACTACCAAATTTGTCGAATTTTTATTGATGGAATGCGTCGTCTAATTTTTTACGAAAAACATCGAGAGAATATCGTTTCCCCTCTCACGGATACCCCGTAGCTACAGAACGGACAGACGTACTGTATAATTATGTACCATTGCGATCAAAAAAAAGAAGTACAAGAATTAGTAGTTCCAGATAGAACTCCTGGTCTATAAGGATATCGATATGCCACCGATATATGATGATATAATTATATGCCACCTAATTTTTTAGGCGTTACCATGGATTTGGTAATAATTGGTAGGTATACGTGGCGAAATAAAAGTATAAAAATTCTGGTGACACCTTTGGTGACACTGAGTTATCAGTTTGAAAGAAAATTTCACACCTCTACTTTTCAACCAATAACATGCTTTAATGTTGACTATAGTACTATTCTTTTAAAAGTTCCTCAATATGGCCGACCTAGTTACAAAAATTGGTAATTTTTTTTAATGAAAAATAAGTTGGCGTTAGCGAATTCAGAAATTGATTTACTCTTTGGTTAACAATAATATTTTTCAGGATTGTCAAGTTGACGTTAAAGTTACGTTATTAGGTGGTAACTAAGGTTGGTAATATTTTTTATTTAAGGAAATATGTTAGATATACCTACATATGAATTTCTTCGAAATTGCCATGTTCTAAAAAATATAGTTCTCCCGCCTTTATTTAACTAAAGCTGGTATTTTTCTATTTAACGAAATATGATGGATATACACTTGATTTTGATTTTCGGGTGTTATCTGGTTTTATATTTTCAATTTCTTCTTTAATGACTTGTTGGTTTACTTTTTCCAAATCGCGACATTTCGCTATACACACTTTACTCTACGTACAGACGTTTTAAAACTAGTAATAGCTTAATGACAGAATCGCAAACAAAAATGACAAAACACATAATATGTCAAAAACATCAATACCTTGGCCAACTTAACAAATTGAAATTATTTTAAAATGTCATGTTGGATTAATATTTTTTTCAAATTTAGGTGTGAAATTTTCTTACCGAATACACGCAAGCTTAAATTATTCCTGGAAATTTTCTTTCGGGCACGAATATTTTAGGAAAATTATCCCTCGTCTTCGACTCGGGATAATTTTCAAAATATTCGTGCCCTCAAAAAAATTTCCGAAAATAATTTAAGCTCTTGTGATATTATAAGTGAAAATATTTTATTATAGACCAGCAGATTAAATCATATTTTGTTGTACTACTTTTTTTTGATCGCAATGGTACCTTTTTTCTATAGCAACTGTTAAAATTGCCTTATATCTATCAAAAATAGTACTAACTTTATTTCTTCTCGCACGTTTTTTAATAGCTTCCATTCTTGAAAATGTTTGCGTTCCAAGATGGACGTCGTTACAAAATGGCGTATTAGGTGAGGGCATGAGTAGCCGTGTCCAGAACAGTTGTGTCCAAGATTGTGTGACGTTAGAAGGACAGATAAAAAAAATAGGTGATTAGATGTACCTACGTAGTTAGCGGTAGCTTTACCACCCAAGTTAAGGTAATAGGTTAAAACGTGCTGAGGACTGTATGGCATTAGGGTGGCTAAAAATGTAATGTCGCAAGCGTTTTCCCTCAAGATTGGGCGCCTCTTGTTGTATATTATGGCCTTGCCCTCTACTGGACCTCTGGGGGGTCGACCGTTAAAATGCCCATTACTCGTGGGAACAACATGGAAACAATAAATAAAAAAACAAACAAAAATAAAAACGAAACTGCTACACAACGAAAAAGAAGGCTCGAAAAGGCGAAAGAAAAGTATAGAACGAAACGTGCAAAAGAAAGTGAAAATGAAACCTATAGTCGACTACAGAAACGAAGAGAACGGTTAGCAACAGAAACACCTGAACAACATGATGGCAGGTTAATAGCACAACGTGAGAGACAAAGGCAGCTGGTAGAGTCAGAAACACCTGAGCGTCATGAGTCCAGGCTAGCATCACAACGTGACAGACAGAGAGAGTTGTTAGCGGTAGAAACACCTGAGCGTCATGAGTCTAGGCTGGCATCACAACGAGAGAGACAAAGAGAGTTGTTAGCGTCAGAAACACCTGAGCGTCAGATTGTAATAAATTATCAGGTAAAAAACCATGTAATAATGATGCACTAAATGAATTAAATAGAATGAGGAATATTCGGTAGGCATTTCCGTTAAATACTAAAAACTAGAAAATAAAAAATCGGTAAAAAAAACTTTTAAGTTAAACGGTTTTATCTTATGTGCACTGAAAACTAGAAAATAATAATAACAATTAGGTATTTTGAACTTCTAGTTCAGAAATATTTTAGTACTACGCAGAATAGCTTTTAGGCATATTAGACTAAAATAAAAACGTGGGGCCCATTAACTATTGCTGTAATACTTTCTTCTATACTAAGTGTGGATTGCATCGACTTACTATAATCGTAACTGGAGATTTTGACAATCACCAGCCGTGGCGGCTTCACCAGCGAACGCCGAGCTCATGATCTACCAAAGTATAAAGATATGCTTTGCCATAGGTAGGATTTCAGAGGGGCCCCACGTTTTTATTTTAGTCTAATATGCCTAAAAGCTATTCTGCCTAGTACTAAAATATTTCTGAACTAGAAGTTCAAAATACCTAATTGTTATTATTATTTTCTAGTTTTCAGTGCACATAAGATAAAACCGTTTAACTTAAAAGTTTTTTACCGATTTTTTTTAGAATTTTCACAAATTATACTTCCTAACACTTTAGAATAATTAAATAAACATTTTTTCGTATTCTCGCTATTTAAACCCGTGTATTTGTATATACTAGCTGTTTACGATATTCTCCGATAGTGGCAGCACCGGCGGAGAATGCACCAAGCCTATAAGGGTTCCGTTCTTTTCTTTTTGGAACCCAAAAAACTTCTTGTACTGTTTTTAACACTATTAAAATCTTCTACATTTTTCTTACCTAATTATCAAATAGTTGATGTATTCTTCATAGGAATCGTTGAACGCAGTGATAGCATTGCACTGCAAGAAATACGCAAACTTGGCGTTGCTTTTTATAATCTCCTTCAACTCTCTTTCTAGCTCAGATTTTCTCTGTTCGACATTCTGAATAGTTATTTGAACGTTTGCAATCACCAACTCCTTGGTATTGATGTTTGCTACGACAGTATCGTCCTTTTTTTCTGTGTGTACTTTCTTGGTCATGTAGTACACGTGCATGTGCAGCTTGTAGCTGCAGCCGCACTTAGTGCAGCTCTGATTTGGTCCCATGGAAGCGCAGTTTATTAGCTCGGGTGTACCAACTAGGTCTTTTTGCACGTTTTTCAAGTAGCATGGGTCGTGGCATCTGGTTTTATAGTGCCACTCGTTTTTTTCGCCGACCTGAAGAAAAAAAATGTAATGAGAATATTCCAAAATAGGCTATAAAGTAGGGTTGGTCAAAAAAACCGACTATTTTTTTCACTTTATAGGTACTTTGAGAAAAAAGTTGGTAGATACCAAGAACGGTAAACGGTAATGGTGTGGATCCGGTGGCTGACCTTGAAACGAGTTTTTGCTGCATATAGTCACAGACACTACGCATGCGCACATCTTCGATGTTGCCAGATTGTGAGTTATTTTGGAATTATTTTCAGTAGAAAAGAAATATGTGCTTTTCAGTGTTTTTTTGTCAATATATACCGTATGATCGAAAAAACGGCGTCCAGTTGTCTGGGAAATGACGATTGAGGATATTTCCATAAAATGACAGCGATCTTCATTTCATAGTCATTGCTGACGCTATTTTTTTTTTTCAATCATAGTACGCGGTATATTATTTTAATATTTCGCACAACACGTGAACGCTTATTATGTATTTTCAGTCAATAAAATTATATAGAAATAAAACTCTAGATTCCTATCTAGATTATTATGCTACGTTTAAAAAGTGCTTTATTAAAAATTCGGGAAATTAAAAGGGATGTGTCCAAATTTTTTCTTTTTTTTAATTTTGAATGCTGTAGCTCCATGTCATGTTCATAATAGATTTTTTTAACATTCCATCAAAACTACGGAGGCCTTAAAAGGCCTTTTAGCCTCTGTAATTAAAATTGTAGAATCAGCTTCAGCAACATTAACAGTTACCTTGTTTAATTCTGCTTATACATATATTGCATTAATTTTTCTGCTACATTAATATTTCTCTATTCTTACACCTAATTTATGATTTATAAACCATATTTTTCCTAATGGAAGGATGAATAGGATATGCAAAATTAAGATATTTTAACATTTATTTTCCAGACCAAGCATAATATAGTATTAAGATGAAGACATAACAAATATTATAAGAAAGATCTTAATATAAATCACAAACTAAGTCTTAATTTAGTCTTGTATTTCTATTATTATTATTATTCTTATAAAACTAATAAGATCAAAACTCAACCTTCACCATATTGTCAAGATTTGGCATTATAGGAAACAAGAAATTACAGTAAATTAAGAAAAGAATAACAAAGTACACGATATTAAATACTGTAATGTATTTTACGATACAAACCATCTCCCTTCTAAAGAGAAAAAGATAAAACATAAAGCTTATTTTAGTCTTATCAACACACTCTTCGATAAAATCCACTAACTTGATATCTATGCTTGATATTTTTAAGAAATTATGATACAAACATTAATTATAATCAAAGTATATTATATTAGTAACATTATATAATAGGTAAAATGTTACCTCTATCTCCGATTGACGTTTATTGTTCTATAATAAGACCCGTCATGGTAGTACTTCAAAACATCAATACATGCATATAATCAAAAATATTGTTGCCTGTAAATAACTAGAAATTAAATAACTTGAAAGAAATAAAATAATTCTAATAAGTTTAAAACCATTAAGAAAAAATCCGTAAATGACAAATTTTAATTCTAATGTAAACATATAAATAAATGTTATTATTATTACAATTTTATATATTATAATACTTTCATTTCACAATCTTCATTATCCTTCTTACCTTAATTTTGGATATCAAGATAAATCTGAAATTATAGAATTTGTATTATTAATGATTAACACGCAAAAAAAAATTTCAACTGCAAATAATTCGAAAATAAATTGCAATTTGGCAACATCGACGATGTGCGCTTGCGTAGTATCGATGATCAAAAGCAGACGCATATTCTCCCGCGATCGGTTAGTGAGGCCAAAATTCGATCGGCGGCCATACTTTGGTGACAAGATTTCGAGGTGACACCGAGAGAATTTTTATGTTTTTTGTGACAACTGTTTTGTTTTAAATTTATAAGCTGTATTGTTTAGTATGGTGAGATGTTCAGCGTATGGCTGCAAAGGCCGAAGCGAGAAAAAAGTGGCTGGAATTACATTTCACAGGTAAATATCGATACACAACTTTTGTTACGTGGTCATAAAATGTACATTTTTTCATTATAGCATTAAAAATATGTAAAATGCTTTTAATATGTTTTGTACCACATCCAAACCAAACTATTTTTAAAAATTCCAAGTAGTATTTTCAATATCCTTTATTATAATTAATGTTTGAAACTATAAATAATGCTACTTAGCATGGATTTCTCCAGTGGCGTAGGGAATTATAATCAGAGAAATACAATTTCTGCAATAAATATTTTTTTATATAGTTTACATGTAAAAAAATGTATAAAGTATTGTTATCAAATATGTAAAATAATTGTAAACTATAAAAAAAATTTAAAATTCTAGTGATAAAAAATCTATATGTATAGTTGTTATATAAAACTTAAATTTACCTGCCAAGATTTGCTGGGGGTGGACAAACCTGTGGTGGGCTACTTGTTACTACATATTTTTTTTTAAATATTCTTTCAAAAAATTTGCTAATTTAGATGTATAATAATAGTCTCAGTGAGTAATTAATAAAAATTTAAAAATAAATAAAATAACACAAAGCTTCTAGAATTGTTTATTTTTTTGTGGAAAATTAGGATATTCTTATGATTGAAGGTAACAAATATTAAAAATTACATTATTCATTGAATCCGTACGCAAGTGTGAAGGGGAATGGCTAGATTCATTATTATACCGTATGGTCGAAAAAAACGACGTCCAGTTGGCTTGTAAATGACGATCGACGACATTCCCCATATAATTTTACATATAAAATGACAGCGATCTTCATTTCATAGCTATCGCTGACGCCGTCTTTTTTCGATGTCGTTTTGTATAGTTTTTATGTCATTTTATATGTAGAATTATATGGGGAATATCATCGATCGTAATTTACAAGCCAACTGGACGTCGCTTTTTTTCGATTATACGGTATAATAATGAATCTAGTCAATTCCCTTCACACTTGCTTACGGATTCAATGAATAATGCAATTTTAAATATTCATTTGTGAAATTGTCATTTCCAAACAAACAAGACGCCGTTTTTTTCGATCATACAGTATATATGTATATACACGTTTAAAACATATGTTATTACATTATGTTTTATTTAATTATACATTATACACACGTTAATAAATAAATAATTGTCTTGATAATCAGTCCACTGTGACTGTTAAATAAATTTTGCATTATCGACTTAGATATTCTAATATTATAAAGGTGAGACTATAAAATACAAAATTGTATATGCATTACTCAAAAATGAACGATATATTAGTTGACGTTTTAATAAATATTTTGTACCGTCTAGGTACAAGCTAATTTCTGATGCTACGCCATTGGAGAATTTCGCGTGGTGACAACTTGCCTCACTTTCAGCTGCCGTGTTACCTGTCCCCTCTCTTTCCTTGTCTAAGCAAATTTCAGTTTCTATAAACAGTACTATTAAAAGACTTTTTTTTCAAGAGATAACTAGGTAAAATCATTAGACATGTTTCTGAGCATCTGAAATGGAATTATAAGGATATCGTTAGGGTACCATTTTTTTTATAACGGAAATCTCGACCCAAGACTAACCTTTGCCAGCCCTCAGTATATGAGACAAGATATTTTTTTACAAATAGTAGATACCGAGATATGAATTTTTCTTTCAAATAATAAGGAAAATGTAGAAAACTGAAAAGCGGAGGACCTTCTTAATAAAATTAAGAGCTCATACTTGGAAAGAATTTTTTTAAAGTGTCTACCAACCTTTTCTTCAGAGTATAAAGTGAAAAAAAAATAGTCGATTTTTTGGACCCACCCTAATAATGGGCATATTGAATCACTTACTTTATAAACTTCCGAACACTTTATATCAGTGCATACAGTGACAGGCTGAGTGAGAGTTGTCACTTGTAAGTCTATAATAGGAATGTACAGTCTCTTCTTTAAATCGCTAAGACTGTTACGATCGATGTCCAAATTGGCTTTGTGACGCTGCAACAATGTGATGTTATCGTTGACCAGTTGACTGATGTCAGCCATTGGCTGACTCAGCTGATAGATCACACGTCTAGCCTCGTTGATGGCTGATGTTTGCTTAACGAAGTGAGGTTTTAAGTCCAGGATATAATTGATCATTCTGAAACAAACAAAAAATAACGATAAAAAGGGAATCGAATGAAATACGAGACGTCGAAAAATATCGATATTTGTGTACATCCCTATCATCACAAATATAAATATATATAAATATAATATAGATGTCTAAAAATATCGCTATCATAAAATAAAAGTGTAGCTTCAAATGCGGAATACAGTTTAACATTCTAAAAGTAAGGTACACAGTGAACCGAATTTAATAATGATGTCGATCAAAAATATCGATTTAAAAAATATCGATATTCGTGCACATCCCTATCACAATCGAAATTGAAGTACTCACTTCCAACATTCGTCGGTCGATTTTTTCCAACTTTTGGCGCATTCCTGTTTGAATTCAGGCGTGAATTGTATCCCCTGCTTTATACCTGCCAAGTATCTAAAGCCCTCGTTGTCAAAGCAAAATTTGTTATCTTCAAGACGCAGATGGGCTTGAGCAGGTTGCTTCCTGATCTCTTCCGCGGTCTGTTTGAGCATCTGGTAGGTATCGCCTTTAAGAAAATAAAATTTTAAAAATCAGTATCGATATTTTTAAAATTATCGATACTACAAAAATTTCTGGGAATCCTATTTTTTTCAAAAATTTTGAAACTTTTTACAATTCGAAAATGTTAATAGTATCGATATTTTAAAAATATCGATATTTCAAAAATATCGATATTTCAAAAATATCGATATTTCAAAAATATCGATGTTTCGGAAATATCGATATCGATATTTTGGAAATGTCGATATCGATTTTTTTTTAAACAACAATCAATACTAACCTGGGGTATAATCACTGCCTCTAGATCCAGTGAACACAAAAACGAAATTCTTGCAGGCATCTGCGTGCAAGCGCGACATGATCTGAGTCACGCAGTACTTGAAATAGGTGTGAGCACGAGTGTTCTGAGACCTGCACAAGTAACAGATAGCGTTGATTTCGTGCAGTCCGCCTATGTAGTTGAGAATCTTCTCGCAATTCTCGTTATCCTTTTCGATACCCTCCGTATCGCCCATTCCTAATAAAATAAATAGTAAATAACATAATAATTCAACTAATATTCAGGTTTTTTCTCCTTTAATCTGTACAGAGCGGTCTGGTAGACAGCTCTATTAAATTACATAATTTGAAAGAAAATAAAATGTTTCATGTTATCAGTTAGTTAAAAATATACAGGGTGCTACAAATTCGAGGTACGAGCATTGGTATCTCGGAAACCGTAATAGATATGAAGATGGTTAAATTGGGGCAATGCTTATTCCTTGAAATTTTTAAAACTGTTTTAATGACATCTTGGTGAACATCTCAAAGCGCAACTTTACCTCAATTTTGTAGCACCCGGTATAGAGGATCCCAAGTAGCACAATAAATTATTATGAGAGTGAAGTGTTTTATATACGATTTATTAAAGCGATCTCATACACTGAATGAACACAGATAAGATATGGTAGACCGGATAAATCTTGCGTTGCCGAACATATTGTTGATAATGAACATTATATAGATCTTAATAATTTAAAATTAATTAAACAAGTCTCAAATTACAGGCAATTAGATGCATATGAAAGCATCAGAATTAATAAATGTAAAGATAGTATGAACAGAGTCAACGGTCCAATTCCTTCAAGTTCTTTGTTCCTACTACTCTAGTGGCGGAAATCTAACTGTTACGCTCAGTTGGCTCTGACTCGGTTGGCTAGATTTTGCCACGCCCACTCGGTGCCCACTGGGCGAGTATATAAACGCTCAACTTGTAGATTGTACTTTAGTTTATAATCATCTGCTGATGATGCTAACATGGTTAGCGAAACGCGCGTCCAGTGTAAAAGTAAAAGTGTTTTGGTGTATTGTGGTGATTTAGTGTTTTTATTTTGCTGAAATGTCTTCCTATGTTTTAGGTATTGATGAACCAATGTTGCCAGAATAAAAGTAGAGTCTGCAAGAATAATTAAAAGTCAAATTTGTGTTTAATTATGTATTTTTTTTCTAATTATTTGCCGTAGAAAAGTCGATGAAAATTTTATTTTTTTTGAAATGTCTATTATGGGGGTATTTATGAAATTTCTTGTAAAGATTGTAATCAGAAATATGTTGGGCAAACTAGAAGATCAATATTAACTAGATTTAAAAAACATTTAGCTCAGATAAGATATGGTAGACCGGATAAATCTTGCGTTGCCGAACATATTGTTGATAATGAACATTGTATAGATCTTAATAATTTAAAATTAATTAAACAAGTCTCAAATTACAGGCAATTAGATGCATATGAAAGCATCAGAATTAATAAATGTAAAGATAGTATGAACAGAGACAACGGTCCAATTCCTTCAAGTTCTTTGTTCCTACTACTCTAGTGGCGGAAATCGTAACTGTTACGCTCAGTTGGCTCTGACTCAGTTGGCTAGATTTTGCCACGCCCACTCGGTGCCCACTGGGCGAGTATATAAACGCTCAACTTGTAGATTGTACATTAGTTTATAATCATCTGCTGATGATAACATGGTTAGCGAAACGCGCGTCCAGTGTAAAAGTAAAAGTGTTTTGGTGTATTGTGGTGATTTAGTCAGTGGCGGCCCGTCAGGTGAGGCAACTGAGGCGCCGCCTCACCTCGAAATTCTATCTTTTAGTAGTACACAAATTTATTTCCAGCTAATCGTATATTTAAATTATAGCAATATTAATATTGAATAATTTTATTAAAATATACCCAGCTTTTTACTTTTCGACCGGTCTAAACCAACCGATCGCGCCATATCATTTCTGTTTTAACTGGACTACAATGCATCTTTTCGTTCTGCGTTCCTGAGGCGTAATTTTTGCCACCTCTGCCGACCTTTTTTTATCAATGAACTAAAACGTCACACATTGAAATCAGTGGGTCGGGGAAGCGGAGGGAAAGCGTGAAATTAGCTGCTGCAGAGGCGACAGCCAAATCGCTTAAGTGCAACGCTGTTGCCAGATTCATGAAAAAAAATCCATTCTTTACAAACTTGATTGTTAAGCTCAAAAATAGTTCGTGCTTGATATGGCTGGATAATGCGATATTATAATACTCTTTGTAATTAAAATTAATCTATTAATTGATCTTACTTTACTTAATTGAATACCCCATCAATAATTATGGAAATAATATCGTATATCGAAGAGAGTATAGAATAAATTTGAATAATATGAACTCTTGGCATCCACACAATACTGGTCAAAATAATTAACTTTAGATATTTCGAGGAATTACTAAACGTCACGTCTATTCGGTCGGTTTGTTTTATGCTTTCGTGAGTAGCAAGTAGTGTGATCTAGCCGTAATTCAGAGTTTAGTGATTTATTTTGTAATAATCAGACTTTAAAATGAATCATGTACATGACATTGTGATGTCCCTTCTAGAATTCTAGAAACCCCGTTTTCCAGAAGACAGGAGGATGAAAAGCGAGAGTCTTACAGGGAAACAGACCTACTCCCCAGATAAGTGTTATAACAAATGATAAAAAGGCAAATTAACAATCCCGATTACAAGTGTTCAAGTCGAGCGGGATTTTTCTTGTCTAAAACGGATAAAATCTTACTTAAAAAATACAATGTTACAAGATAGACTTTCTGCTTTGTCTTTATTTTCAATTGAAAAGGAGCTGTTGGTTACCCTTAGTGAGAACGAAGGGAAGTTTTATGATGACATAATTGATAAATTTGCCATTCTTAAAGACAGACGAATAAACTTAACCTAAGGAATAATTCTTTACATTTTATGAACAATTACATTTTTTAACTATTTTTTACTTGTTTGTTTCTTATTTACATATGTCGTCGCGTCGCGCGTCGTAGAACTTGATGTGACAAATTCCGTCTTACTAACCGAACGAAAACCTCAAATTAGAGCTGTTATATTACGATCATTAGATTAGTTAGCTAATACCTAATATATGTTTAAGTTATATTATTTATACTCTGAAGAAAATAACATAAAGAAACAGTTCCGATGATGACTTTTTTAATAAGTTATGCTTACAAACTTATTATGTCTGAGGAGCAAAAAATCTCTAGCTTATTGTTGCTTAGCTGCTTAAAAAACAAAAAGAAAATAAACACATAAAAACAAAAAAAAGTTCTTATGACATTTTTAGTAGGTTAAACATTCAAACATATTATATCTGAGGAACAAAAAAAATTAAACTTATTGCAGCTTAGACCCCCCCCCTCCCCTTTCGTCCGCGTTTGCGTCGCCTCATCAGTTCTAATGGTCACGAGCCGCTACTGGATTTAGTGTTTTTATTTTGCTGAAATGTCTTCCTATGTTTTAGGTATTGATGAACCAATGTTGCCAGAATAAAAATAGAGTCTGCAAGAATAATTAAAAGTCAAATTTGTGTTTAATTATGTATTTTTTTCTAATTATTTGCCGTAGAAAAATCGATGAAAATTTTAATTTTTTTAAAATGTCTATTATGGGGGTATTTATGAAATTTCTTGTAAAGATTGTAATCAGAAATATGTTGGGCAAACGAGAAGATCAATATTAACTAGATTTAAAGAACATTTAGCTCAGATAAGATATGGTAGACCGGATAAATCTTGCGTTGCCGAACATATTGTTGATAATGAACATTGTATAGATCTTAATAATTTAAAATTAATTAAACAAGTCTCAAATTACAGGCAATTAGATGCATATGAAAGCATCAGAATTAATAAATGTAAAGATAGTATGAACTGAGTCAACGGTCCAATTCCTTCAAGTTCTTTGTTCCTACTACTCTAGTGGCGGAAATCTAACTGTTACGCTCAGTTGGCTCTGACTCGGTTGGCTAGATTTTGCCACGCCCACTCGGTGCCCACTGGGCGACTATATAAACGCTCAACTTGTAGATTGTACTTTAGTTTATAATCATCTGCTGATGATAACATGGTTAGCGAAACGCGCGTCCAGTGTAAAAGTAAAAGTGTTTTGGTGTATTGTGGGGATTTAGTGTTTTTATTTTGCTGAAATGTCTTCCTATGTTTTAGGTATTGATGAATCAATGTTGCCAGAATAAAAATAGAGTCTGCAAGAATAATTAAAAGTCAAATTTGTGTTTAATTATGTATTTTTTTTCTAATTATTTGCCGTAGAAAAATCGATGAAAATTTTAATTTTTTTGAAATGTCTATTATGGGGGTATTTATGAAATTTCTTGTAAAGATTGTAATCAGAAATATGTTGGGCAAACTAGAAGATCAATATTAACTAGATTTAAAGAACATTTAGCTCAGATAAGATATGGTAGACGGGATAAATCTTGCGTTGCCGAACATATTGTTGATAATGAACATTGTATAGATCTTAATAATTTAAAATTAATTAAACAAGTCTCAAATTACAGGCAATTAGATGCATATGAAAGCATCAGAATTAATAAATGTAAAGATAGTATGAACTGAGTCAACGGTCCAATTCCTTCAAGTTCTTTGTTCCTACTACTCTAGTGGCGGAAATCTAACTGTTACGCTCAGTTGGCTCTGACTCGGTTGGCTAGATTTTGCCACGCCCACTCGGTGCCCACTGGGCGAGTATATAAACGCTCAACTTGTAGATTGTACTTTAGTTTATAATCATCTGCTGATGATGCTAACATGGTTAGCGAAACGCGCGTCCAGTGTAAAAGTAAAAGCGTTTTGGTGTATTGTGGTGATTTATTTTTTATTTTATTTTGTTAGTCGAAATAATATAATATTATATATAATATGTATATATATATATATAATATTTTAACTTAGACAAATATGTTATTTTTAAAATATTTATATAAAACAGTTTTATAAATATTTTGTTATGTACTCAATATTATTTTGTAAGCGTTATCGGAGAGTTTTTAACGTACTTCTAAATAAGTATATTGTTTTATAAACCTGCGCCTATTTCATGTTTATAACTATCGTATTAGGGTTTATAAAGCACTTAAAAAATAGTACATATTTATCATGAATTGTTATATAACACTCTATATAACCATTTTAAGCACACTTGGGATTAGATTGGCTCGCACAAGCCAACTTACGCAAATTAACTAAAAGTGTAAACCCCCTTAAGAAAAAAAAACATACCGGGTGTGTCAATTAGTCTAATTTGAACATCCCCATTCTTGATCATAAACGTATATGTCCTGACTTCCTGTGTCCCCGATTTTCCCAACACCAACGTCTCAGACGAATTAACTTTTCCAACAGTGACAACATTTTCCTTGCCATCTTTGTCGTAGAGTGAAAAAGTTGAGGGGATGAATACGTTCAATTCGGAATTCTGAGCGACGTTGAAGTCGCTGTACTGCAGGTAGTTGAACAAGGAGTTGATGAAGGTTGATTTGCCTACGCCTGTGTCTCCCAGCAACAAGATGTTGATGTCTGTGCGTTGGCCTTTAATTGTTAGATCTTTCAATTTTGATGTTAGGTCTTCAGACATGGTCGATGGAGTTGGACTGGACTGTTTTTCTTCGGGTCCCTGGGCTACAACTGCTAGGACAAGACAATAAAAATGACAGTATTCTAAAATCCCCGCCATAAAATTTTGACCAAGTTTGATGTTTAATAACTTTTGATTATTATTTTTTATTTTAATGGCTTATATATTTTGGTTAAGTGGGTTTATACTAGGGTAAATCAAAACTTCGTTTTTTGTAATAAATTCAAAACACCCTGTGAAAAAAATGGGACGGGTATTTTAGATAAAAAACAATTTTCTGTAATATTAGATATATTTCTAACATTTCGTTTTTGAATTATCCTATTATGTCTATTCTTTTATGAGCTACACACTTTTAAATAACTGATATTTTTTCAATCCTGAATTTATCTATTAATTTAGCTGATATATATGTTATAACAAAAATAGTTTATTTACAGTAAACAATAGAGATAAAAAGATAAGACTTGATAATCATTATCAGTAGTTATTTGTTTAGATGAAAAAAAGAGTACAAGTCGATACACAAAATATGTACCCTGATATGCATTTTTTTTTAAATTAATTTTTCCAAATTTCAAAAAAATATGTGTATTGTATTATTCAAGTTTATGTAAAATTATTATCGTATCTTTATATCTAAAATATACATCAAAATATAATATACATATACAAGATAAAAAATGTAGGTATTAGTTCAGTCATTGGGGATTTTTGCTTGGAAAAAAGTCCGGAAGTTTTGCAACTTTGCAGGTTTATAGGTTTTGGGGTCCCTAACTAAAATCCATAGAATGCACAGTTCCAGACTTGCCGCCGGCGCCGCCATCTTGCCAAGATGGCGCCCAAAATCGGTAAAAAATGTTTTCAACTCAAAATGCCTTTAATTATGTTTGACTACATCATTAAAAAGGGTCTTCAAATACATCAATGTGATATTTGTCTAAAATTTCGTTTCATTAAATTATTTATTAGATTGAAAATATTTTATGCTTTAAAGTTTACAGAAAATAAAGATTTATATAGTCGAAAAAAGTCCGATAGAACCAATAGAAATGTAACTATTTTGTCACATCTTTAATTAAATTTTGTTAAATAAATTAATTTTTTATACTATAAATATCTTTTTTTTCCCTAATCTCCTACGAGCTGATATAATATGACGAGCAATCTATTAAATTACTGTGAGATTATACAGAAAAGTCCACAGACTTCGAGACATAGGAAAATCAAGTCCATTTAGCGTGTGTCCAAATTTTGACAAGTTTTCAAAAACGACAGTTTTGTTTAGACTGACGTTTAATTTCACCTGACTTCTCGGTGAACGATTTCTTTTTATGGGGGTACATAAAATCTAAAATTTACGGCCATGAAGAAATTCAAAACTTGGAGCAGTTAAGGCAGAAAATATTTAATGCCTTTGACACTGTCACCCTGATATGTTATCCAATGTGAGGAGGGATTTTATGATCGTTTGGTTTAATGCAAGAGGGAGGCACTTTTGAACAATTTTTTGTAATTTTTAAATTTCATTATCCTGTTTTTTACCGTTTACCCATTACCTACCTTGACGAACATGGGAAAACGAAGGTCCTTTTCAGGACCACAAATATTTTGATTGAGAAAATTGGTAACTTTTTTTGGATTAAAAACAAAAGTTGTTAATATAATACCAATTTAAAAGTGTTTTGGTAGTTTTAATACACACTATGATATAAAATTTATTATTATTATAATGTACATTATTAATACTATTGTTCATTCGAAATGGCATTAAGGCCCAATTGCAACAATGATTTAAATTTTTCTTAAAGATAAGTAGAGCTTAGAATGAGCTGTTTTTATATTTACTTTAATATTCACCTTAAATGAGGAAATTTGACTGATACAATTTTTGAATTTGAATTGTTTTTAATGATACTAACAATTTTAGTTCAATTTTTAATAACATTTATTTAATATTAATAGAAATCCAAGAGATTTGAAACCTCTTTTAGCGATTTATAACATTCTCAAATGAATTACAGGTGCCCTTATTTTCTATGAAAATCACACAGCTTTTTTCATAGTCGCTGCAGTTGCTATAGCTATAAAAAACTAATTTTTTAAGGTGTGAAAATTGCGACACACGCTAAATGGACTTGATTTTTCGTATGTCTCGAAGTCTGTGGACCTTTTTTTATGCCTCGATAACATATTGGTGCAGATTATTTTCACCCAAACAAATAATAACCCAAACTATACATTGATGCGGATTGTCTATGAACTCTTTCTGAAGGTCACAGAAACCTGAACGCGTAATTCGGTGTTCTTTCGCATCTGTTATAGGTAATTTGTGACTGAACTATATACCACAGGCTTAATAAAAGTTGCAGTTTCTTAACATTTATTAGAATGAAAATATAGAGAGTATGCTAAAAATGCATGAAAAAAAATATATTTTCGACACCCTGTAATTTACACCTGTAATTTTACAAAACTGACAATAAGAGCCATAACCATAATTTTATGGGTGCATATGCATATGTCATCAAGTATTTTCAACAGAAAATTTACATAACTTGATATACGAAGCATAAAAAATAAGACATTTCAATTATAAAAATTCGTTATATCCGCCTCTTTTTGAAACACCCTGTACATTGAAAACAAAATTAAATTGTACACGCTAGCATTCTCTAAAAAATGTTTCCTGGTAATTTTCTAAAACTGAGAATGAGATGATGCTCTTTACTGTTGATACTTTATGTAGAAATTAACTATAGATGCATACGGGGTGAGCCAACAATTTCACAATAAATTGGATTTTCAAAAAGTTTATGCAAAAGTTACGTATTTAAAAAAACAATCAAAACACCTACCTGTATTTTCTGAGTCTTTTGATTCTGACGACCCCATCAATCGAAACTTCTATTTTTCCTAAAACAAATATAAGAATAATTTAATTTAAATATTAATCATTTTTTCGCATTTTTACACAAGAAATTTTTTCAACATCGAACACATAAGAAGACATAACCCAACAGATAAGAAACACATAACCCAACATTTTCAGATTGTTTACAAATTTATTTTAGCAAATTTTCCTCTATTATGCATTTAGAATTAGAATTTAGAATGAGTGGGAGGGGGGTTAATCACTTCGACCTTACAGATCCATTGTGTCCCCCTTTCTTGAATCATAACTCATCATACAGTCCCAGGGCTTTGACAAAAGCCAGTATCTGGGACGGTTTTATAGAGGGTAGTTCTCCATCTCCAATATCAGTCGTACCAAAATTCATGGCACGAATGGTTGTCGTCTCGGCGCACTCAGTGATGAGGTGTACTGGTGTTTCCCCATCTTTCCCACAGAATCTGCATTCGCCGTTTCTTCTTAGTTTCAATCTACTGAGGTGTCCATTGAGGAGACAGTGTCCTGTTAAAAACCCCGTGACAATCCGAAGATTGTTCTTACTCAGAAAGATCTGTGATTTTTCTTGATCATAAGCCCTCAGAAACTTCTTCGAGTGTCTTAGACCATTGCAAGATTTCCATTCCAGGTTGCGGATGGAATCTTCCAAGTTCTTGAGTTCCGCCTTGAGTTGGTTACCACTTGGAAAGCAGAACGGTTCTGGTCCAGTTAGTGGAGTGTTCGCTCCTTTCCTAGCTAGATTATTTGCTTTTTCATTGCCTTCTATCCCTTGGTGAGCAGGCACCCAGTGTAGGAGGACTTTGTTTTCTTTGCCTAATTTATTCAGCTTCTCTATGCATTCTTTGACCAACTTCGAATTGATTGATACTGAGTTGATCGCCTTTAACGCTGCTTGACTATCAGACAAGATGGCTATTTCTTGTTTCCGATAGTTCCTATGTAAGATAAGTTATACGCATCTCTCGATAGCGTAGATTTCTGCCTGTAGGATACTAGGGTAAGTGCCCATTGGTTCGGAGTAATTAGCTCTCGGCCCAAACACTCCGATCCCTGTTCCCGTATTGGTTTTGGAAGCATCAGTATACCAAGTTATGGTATGGTCTTTTAACTGCTGGGCAAGCGTTTCGCTCTTCCAATCCTTCTTATTGCTCAATACTACACTGACATGTTTGTCAAAGTTGTACGTTCTTGGCATATCGTCCACTGGGAGTTGCAGGAGTGGTATTTCCTTTTTGAGGGTGTTCCAAGCCCCTGATCTGACCATTCTCCCAGTACTAATTCCGTTAGTGACCATTCTAATCATTGTCGCATTGGCATATCTACCAATGACAATGTGCAGTGGTGTTAGATCTAGAATGACCTCCATTGCTGCTGTTGGACAGGTTCTCATGGCTCCTGTGATGCAAACACATGCTAGTCTCTGGACTTTGCATAGGTTTAGCCTTGCCGTCCGTTGCTCTAGTTTTGTGTACCAGGCAACTGCTCCATAAGTAATCATAGTCTATTATGCATAGAATTGATTAAAAAAGTAACAGAAAATAACCCAACAGATAAGAAACACATAACCCAACATTTTCAGATTGTTTACAAATTTATTTTAGCAAATTTTCCTTTATTATGCATAGAATTGATTAAAAAAGTAACAGAAAATAGCAAAAACATCATTGTTTATTGAATACCTAACAAAATATGTGCCAGAAAACCTTAAAAATATGAGAAATTAAGAAAAATTCGATATCGAAATAGCTTTTCGTTTTTTTGAAAAACGGTAAGAGACCGCCAGAAAAAAAATTCAGATTCGTAATCTACGACTTCAAAATAGGGTGTATACCAATTTTGGTGAAAATCGGACGATTTCCAGTCTTCCCAATAATTACCCTTTTTTTCTATATTGTTTCTATTAAAAAAACACCCTGTATATTGTATGCTGCTAGCTGCTAAGAGAATCAAAATGAAATGGTAGAGACAGGCAGAAAAATTGAAATTTTTAGACGAAGTCTGGCAACGTAGCGTAAAAATTAGCATTGTTTTACTTATTCTTTTTCGGGATATTCCTAGAAAATAGAAAATCTGTTAAGCTTTGATCAAATATATACGCATATTAATTAGAAATATAAATAGTTATTTCTGGTACGTAGTTCTTTACAATAAATGAAAAATCTTGTTTTTATTCCTTCTAAAATAAAATTATACTTTACCCTCGGAAATAACAGCCGATTCTTCGATTCTAGCTGATTTTACCAATTCACTGACAATTTTTACCAAAAATACGATAAGATATAGCGAAAAAGAAACGAAATAATTGAAAAAAAAACCACTAGACACAAGCCAAAATAATGCAACGCTCAAGCTGCCATCACAAACTGTTCTGTATTTGTGAGTTGTTTGCTTTGCCACTCCAGCAGGCAGCGGTACAAATTTATTATTAGAAGGTCGCTTATCCGACCAATAGGAATGCGGTACGGAATACGGCTACGACCTGAGAACTCGATCAATTTAGAAAGCAGACGTGTCTCTCTAAAAAGAGGTAGTTCGGGGAAGTACACAGCTTAATCGATTGTTTAAGCGGCGTTATCAGAGTGTCAAATTGATACTGAAAAATACGGAAATTTTTTAATATCTTATACAGGGTGTCCCAGAAATAAGTGCAAGTATTTTAAGGGATGGTAGATCTCGATAAAAGAAATATATTTTCTCTTTATGGTTTTTCAAATAAGTCCAAAATAACGGAGTTATTTTACTTTGAAAATATCCAAAAAAAATGATTTTTTGCTCAAATTTTGAGAACCACTGGATCTTTTCTGGATTTTCTTTTTTGCAAATTTAATCTACTACCTATGTTTATGTTTTTTAACTAAAAACTAATGAAAATTCCAAAAATTTTTTCAAAAAATTCCGAATTTTCAAAAACAATTTTTCGCGAAAAAATGTATATAAAAAACTTAATGTAATATGTATTAAAAAAATTGGGCCCAGTTCGTATGATTTGCATTTTAAGTTCTAACTATTCGGAAAGGTATACAAATTATGTTTGCACATATGTACATGCTAGGTACTTCCAACATAACCTCAACTTCACCTGAGGACCTAAACAATTACTTTGTAAATGTGGCGAAGAATATAGTGAATACTATCTCACCCTCCCTTGATCCTCTATCATTTCTCTCTGACTATAATGTTAATTTGCACAGTTTCTTCCTTACGCCTGTGGGGTTGGCAGAGCTTCGCAATACATTAAATGATATTAAAAATAAATCTTCAGCAGGGACTGACGGACTTACTCTTAAAATGTTCTCTAGTATGCCGGAATGTACATTAAACCATCTTTCAGCCTTAATTAATATGTCATTTGAAGATGGTGCTTTTCCAAATTGCCTTAAGTCGGCGATAATTATTCCTTTGCATAAAGGAGGTGATAAAGAGCAAGCTTCCAACTATCGTCCAATTGCACTCCTTCCCACGTTATCGAAGATCATGGAGAGACTGGTTAAAAAGAGGCTTGTATCATTTCTTCTAAAATACAAAATACTCACCCCTTTCAGTTTGGGTTCTTGAGTAACAAATGTACAAATGACGCTATGTTTTCGCTGTTTAATAATGTATACTCCAGTCTGAACAACAGTCTCGTTACAGCAACAATTTTCTGTGATTTCTCGAAAGCTTTCGATTGTGTTAATCATAACATCTAACTAACAAATTGCATACTATGGTATCAGGGGAACGCCTCTTGAATGGTTTAAGTCCTACCTTAACAACAGAAACCAGCGTGTGAGGGTTGATAAGACTGTGTCTTCTTGCAAGCCAATAGAATGCGGAGTACCTCAGGGCTCAGTGCTAGGTCCTATTTTGTTTCTGTTGTTTATCAACGATATTGCTAGTCTGGACATCAGTGGTAAAATCTGTCTCTTCGCGGATGATACTTGTTTCACATGGAGCAGCCCGGACACCACGGCACTTCATAGAACCATTTCCAGTGACTTAATCAACATAAAAACATGGTGCGATTCTAATTATCTGTGTCTCAACGTCTCTAAAACTAAAGTCTTATCATATAAAAGTACGTTGCTACCTTTTCAACTTGATAATACCACCATTGACGTCGTTGATTCTGTGAAATTTTTAGGCCTTGTTGTGGACAACTATTTAAAATGGGATTTGCAATCGATGCTTTAGCTAAAAAATTAAGTTCTGCCTGTTTCGCACTTAGATCAGTTGCTAATGTGCTTAATTTGTCAACATCTAGGACAGTCTATTATGCCCTTTATGAGTCGCATCTCCGATACGCACTTCCATTCTGGGGTGCGTGTTGTGCGACTCAATTTGAGCGTATCTTCAAATTACAAAAGAGAGCTGTGCGATATTCACTGAGGCTAACCAGTTGTGCTCACTGCCGGGACTTGTTTAGAAGATATAAAATATTAACTCTTCCTTCCCTATTCATACTCGAATCCGTCTGCCTAGTTCGCAAGCACGTATCGAGTATTTCTCTAGAGCCAGTTCATGGCTATCCAATTAGGAACGCAGAGCATAACATGTATCTGCCAACCCCTCACTCTGAGTTAGTAAAGAGTTCCCAATTGTACAATGCAAAAAAAAATGCACTATCATCTGCCATCTGAAATTAATTCCATTTCATCCTTTCCTGCATTTCGCAGAGCCTTGAGATCATACTTACTGGAGAAAGCCTTTTACGCGGTTAACGATTTTTTTATTAATATCTAGGGTTCTAAATTTAACACACATTCACTAAATTTAAGAAATGATTTTGTTTTCTATCCATTTAAATTTAGTATTGACATTATATACAGTTGTTTATTTACATGTATGTTTATATTTTATTTATATTTAATTAAATAAATTTTTGACAATGTACAATTTCTATAATTGTATAAAGTATTGTTTTAGTTTTGTATGTTTGCTGTTAGTTTTATATGTTTTTCTATTGTTAAGTGAAGTTTTGTATGTTTTTTATATTCTTTTTTTTAAGCTTTGTCAACAAAATTGTAAAATTTTTTTATGACAATAAAGCAATTTCTTTCTTTCTTTCTTTCTTTAGGTTTTTTCATATTGAAGAGGTCAAATTTATTTTAAATGTTGAAAAAATAAAAGAAACAGTTGTTTCATTTTATAAACACAATTTTATTGTCAATTGATATACAGTGTGTCCAGGAAATAAGTTGACATGAAGAGGAAAAGATAAGTTGCTTTTATTTTAAGACAAAAAGTCAATCTTTAACCACCCGGTATAAGATCCGGCGGCAATTCGCGGCAGCCAGTGGCAATTAATTTATATGCAATATACTTTAAGCAACAAGTATTTTCATGCCGTTTAAGAGGATTTGAAAGGGAAAATAGTTAAAAGGCTTAAAGAGTGACGAGCAAAAATGTAAAAATACTATTTTTGTTACCTTCAAATAAATTGCCATAAACTAATATTACTTAGGTTTAATTAAGTGCAAAAAAGAAAAAACAGTTCTTTTTATACCTTCTTTTCGAACGTCCATTACAGAAAAGGCAACAGCTTTTATCAATTTTAATAAAATAAGTAATTAATTGGCGTTATCTGAAAACTGTTTATGTCAGCTTGATACAAGTAGCAAAAATGTGACATTTCTAATAAAAAAAAGCGCTACACTAGGCTTACTTCATTTTGTTATTTATTATGTATCGTTTACTGGGGAATATAAGAATAGTATTAGAAACAGTTTCATGCAAACATTTTGAAATTAATATTTCGAAGTAATGACCTATCTGGGAACCACTGTGCGTCGCGTGGCCGGATTTTTTGTTTTTCATTTAATTAAAAAAAATAAAATAAAAAGTATTCTTTCTCCTGGTGTCGATGTCGCGTCGCGTCATATGGTCGCGTCGTGGCGAATGCGCCAGGCTTCAACTATACAGGGTTGTTAAACACATACGACACGAAGTATTGTAGCTAAACGACTAGATTTTTAAAAATTGTAAGTTTTGGATTCGTTGAAGGACTATTAGAGCTACAATTTAAAAATATTTTTACAAAATACAGAGTGTCCCAAATAAATAAAAAATATCAAAGTTGTATTTTTTTAAACGGAACACCCTATATATTATTACATTTTTAGTTTTCTACGCTTAAAATAAAGGTAAATTTGATTAAGGTTTATTACACTTAAACCTTACCGTTTTTGAAATATTTTCAATTTTGTAAATTGCAGTATAAATTTTAAGGCTTCATTTCTCCGAGGGTATCAAAGTTTTTAATACTAAAGATTCACTGAAGTTTATTTATTGATCAGTTATAGTGTTGCAATAATAAAAACTTTATTACCTTATACAGAGTGTCTAAAAATTTATTTTAAATAATTACTAGCTTTAAACGGCAATAACTTGTTTGATTTAAATGGAACACCGTGTATATTTTATGATAATCAGATGCACAATTTAATTGTCTATCAAATTGTATTATACCATTTTTACCTATCTCTTCAAGTTTCCGTAGAAAATGCATTTTCTTGTAATAAAAACTCATTTATCAATATACCCATGGAATACTGACATTTTAGATTATTTTTAAAGATGTACCAAATTTTTAAAGAGTACAGACACTAATATTGTCGATATAGTTCGATTATTTCATTAAAAAAACTGTTTAAATATTTGTTAAAAAGGACCAATTAATATGATTCCAGTAGTCAAACTACATTAATTGACTGTTCGCGTTGATTAATAATAATAGCTCCAAATACTCAAAAGCTGAATTATGTATGTGTATTAGACAGTGTGGTAAAAAGTAACACCTTAAAAATTATATTTCATTTTTCGACAAATGCCTATTTATAACAACAGAGATGTTCATTTTTATAACTTATTATTATATTGATTTTTGATTCAAATCCACATTTATTTAGAATAATTTATTAACGAACACAATTAAGTATGTAGTTAATTAGTATTTGGGCGGAAATACTGGTGGTATATTTAATTAATGGTATACTCTTTTATAAAAATTTAAATAGTTTTCTTTTTGAATACAAATGGGCTAGTAATATTATTGTTTTACTAAAAACGATAATATTACTAGCCTGTACATTTTGTACATTTGTTGTTTTAAAAACAACCTAAAATGTCAATATTCCATGGGTATATTGATAGATGAGGTCTAAATTATAAGAAAATGCATTTTCTACGAAAACTTGAAGGAATAGGTAAGAAGTGGTATAATACAATTTGATAGACAATTAAATTGTGCATCTGATTCTCATAAAATATACAGGGTGTTCTATTTAATGTAAATAAGTTATTGCCGTTTAAAGCTAGTAATTATTTAAAATAAAATTTTAGACACTCTGTATAAGGTAGTATAATTTTTATTATTGCAACACAATAACTGATCGATAAATAAACTTCAGTAAATATTTAGTATTAAAAACTTTGATATCCTCGGAGAAATGAAGCCGTAAAATTTATAACGCAATTTCGCAAAATTGAAAATATTTCAAAAACGGTAAGGTTTAAGTGTAATAAACCTTAATCAAATTTACCTTTATTTTAATCGTAGAAACTAAAAATGCAATAATATACAGGGTGTCCCATTTAAAAAAATAAAACTTTGATATTTTTTATTTATTTGGGACACTCTGTATCTTGTAAAAATATTTTTAAATTGTAGCTCTAACAGTCCTTCAACAAACCCAAAACTTACAATTTGTAAAAATCTAATCGTTTAGCTACAATACTCCGTGTCGTATGTGGTGAACAACCCTGTATAGTAGGTTATAAATGAAATAGTAAATAGTTTATAAATAAAATTATTTTAAGTAATAAGTAAACGAAACGCAGTACTTTTGACAGACATTTTTATTCAATGGTAAAACAGCGACAACAACAAAAAAAACAAATAAAATATAACAATATCTTATGTTAGTTATAATAAAACCCATAAAAATATAACATAGGTAAAACACTTATTTTTTTTAATAATCTAAAATTAAAACACAATATTTTTTGACACATATTTCTCACTAGTTGTTCCTAAAAAATAACTTCTTCATTCTCCCAGTGCAAATGAGTTGAGTTGTTCCCTAGAAATGATTAAACAAAATATTATTTTTTAATCAAGTCAATATACAGGGTGGTCCGAATTGTATTCGGACCACCCTGTATAATACTTTAATGTAAATACTTTAAATTTGGAAAAAATGAAACATCAACACCCTGTAGCTCTGGAACGAAACAACCCTGTATATAAATATATCTTATATTGTTTAAAAAAAATCTCTTTAGTAAAAATAAATAAATACATTCAAACAAGGATTTCCTATATAAAATAAAATATTTTAGAAATAAATAAACCAGCCTGCTCTTCATTAACCAATGTATTTTTATACAGGGTGCATCAAGAAGTTTCAGAAAATGAATATTTCTTAAAGTACCTTGTACATCTTTGAAAATTTGTATATTGACGTAAAATAGAATTGTGAACAACTTTTTTCTTTAATATTTTTCGCGATTTTATCATCTAATCCCACTTTTTGCAAGTTAAAGAGGAATAGAGCATTTTGACAGCTACAAAACGACATAAAATAGAATAAATTTTACATTTCAAACAATTAGGCCGGCACAGACATCATGAGAATGTTAAAATAAATTATTTTCTTGTATTGAAAGCCTTTCATATTCAACAGAAGTTATTTGACATACAAAATTTATTTTTTTCTTATAATAAAAACATGATTGAAAACCTTACTCATGCCCATAATAGCGGACGGCCTTCATTTTGAAAGCAGTGGAGTTTTCTTTGCATTTGTAGGCCAAAACTTGCTTTATCCTGCTGATTTCCACCATAGGAAACCTATCTGCTACATAAGCTGAAAGGAAAAACTCTGTTTAGAAACCCCTAATAGCTCCTTAGGTATGCAACTAATATTACACTCACACTCACTCCTAACGATTTTCCCTATGACACCAATTTAACCATAGATATCTAACATTATTTCGTGAAACAGTCCTTAAGTAAAGAGTACATAAGGTTCAGTTTCTTAAGAGATTTTGTTAGGACTCGATGTATATTTGGTTGCATACTCTCATTACATTAACAAGCCTTACATATTATTGCTTGGACTTTAGCTCTATCCAGAGCGGGCTTCACAGGCCTCTCGCTGCTCCCAGCTCTACTCCATCTCTGCCCAGTAACTGAGCACGTAGCTAACTCAGCAGGACTGAACAGAATTGTAGCTAAACCCCTAGTCAGCTTCCTGTAGTCGCTCCATTTGATACTGCGCAGCTGGTCTTCGTAAATCTCAATGCCTTCTCCAAGTTTTACCTTAATAAACATTCAAAATGAGAATTTCTTACTTGAACATGAATTATTTCTTTAAAATTACCAATTTACTGCGTCTCTCTGGTTCCCTTCTATCAAAAATCCTCGGTGGAGAGTCGAAATCGTTCAGAAAACCGTTACCCTGATGATGAAGGGAGTACGGCGACCAGTGATCCGAAACTCTGCGTCTTCTAATCCTCAAACCTCCAAAAAACGTAAGTATTAATATAGGCAACCAGTAAAACACGTGTATTTTATGTTGCATACCCTCTTACGTCAAATATAAAAACAAAAACCGTTAAAATGGTGGTCCTTGTCAAACAAAAAAACGAACCGGCTATAAATTTAGTTTAAGAAACGAAAATTACAAAGAATCAACACAAAAGTCGATAGGAGTTTATTAATAAATTAGTTTTATATAAGTTACTGTGCCTTAAAGTCTACATTTAAGCGTCTTCTTCACGTTCCGTGTGCGTCGAGCGTCGTGTGAGCGTCATATTCTTTAATTTATATTCGGTACTATTTCGTGAGTGTGATTGAGCCCCCGAAGGCATAATTTCGTCAAACTGAACACCGCCGTGAGCACTGAGCACGTGCCGCCTCAAGTACAGATCCGTCTTGAACTGTTTGCGACAATGGAGGCAGTTCACATACGTAGGGAAGTGAATGAGTTTCATGTGCTGGCGTAAGTTCGAGAGATTGCTGTAGACTTTACCGCATTCTGAGCAAGGTCTGGGGTCGAGGGAGTGCAGCTTTCGGCTGTCGTTGCCTACAACAAACAAAAGTCAAAATCAGTGTGCGTATGGCCGTTGTTCATTGCAGGCAACTCTGAACCGATGCTAGGCCGGGACAGGGAAGTTTGTATGGCCTCTGCAGGTGAGTACATATTTATTTAATAGATATACTTACTTGGATGGCTCAAATCCGGCGCTCCAATGTCTTTACTCAAAAAACTCGCGGTTTGTGGCAAAATATCAATCCCACCTACATTGGAAATATAATTTTTAGCATAGTAAAGACCTATAATAAGGGATATACACTTACCTGGCAAAAGGTTGCTTTCAGTATTGTAGAAATTCGAAGAAGCATCATTATCATCGTCACTAATATACTCGGGCAGTTCAACTTTAGGAAACAGACCAGTTTTCAGCAGTTCTGGCTGGCTTCTTGACTCGCCCTGTATGGCAAAAGGATTCACAGTCATCGATTCCTCTTTTCTAACTCTAATTTCAGTCTCTGATTTACAGTGTCGCTTTGGGGCTGGACTAGAACTGTTTGGCATCAATATATTACTTAGATCGTCTAAAGGTACGTCTTGACTAGATGTTACGGTGCTTGTTGAGGATATTTGTGGTGTTTTTGGTTTGTTTTTGTTGACTAGAAGACCGTTGTTCCTACGATATAAATGTCAGCACATCGTAAAATAGAAAGTTCAAAGAATTTTAATGATTTAACCTGGTTGACCTTGTTTGAGGCTTGAGGTATAGACTATTCTCTTCTGGCACAACATCAGACTCTGAAGATGTATCAGTAAGTCCCCGTATTTTCAAGGACTCTGCAGTCTTGAGGAAAGTTGAGAGGTGAGTTTGGGAAACGTTTACTTCACCGACATACATAAACTCCATCAGGGCTATAATGTGTCGCGCTTCTACGTCTCTCATAAAGATTATTGGATGTGAGCAAGGGTTAGCCTGATAAAAACCAACATATAGTGTACGAAAAAGTGTATTTTTGTAACTACATTTACCTTAAACAACTCTTTGAAGTAGGGGCTGCATGCAGAAAGCACCACCTTATGTGCTTGAAGTTGCTGACCATCACAAGCAATGGTGACATCAGTGAAGTCCTCACTGAACCTCAGAGCTTCGAACTGTGAGGTGATATTGGCTTGGAAGTTGTTCCACTTCAGGCAGAACTGTTGATCGTTGGTTTGATCATCTAGTTCGGCCATTTTTTCCTCTTTTGATTCACATAACACAATTTAAAAGATAAGATAAACATTTAGTAGGTACATCTTTATTCATTTTTATCTTTTGAAAAGATAAAAATAGCAGGAGCTCTTTATCTTCTTTTTTTCTCTAAAATCAATATTGTTTCTTGGCCAATCAAGAAAAAGGTGCTTTTCCCTGTCAACTTTTTTCTGTTTTTTAAATTATATTTTGTTTTTTAATTATAACACTATTTAAATTTGGGAAAAATGATAATAATAAATTCACATTTTCAGACAATTTTCCAAATTCTTTTCACTTGTTTGGTTACAAGGATTTTCTCACTGTATTTTTAATACACTTGTTTCCACTATTTTCACTCAAATTCACAGAAAATCTGGCTGTTTTTTGTATAAATCTCCACCCAAAATTGATTTTTCTAGTTTTAAATTAATAGTTGCATATATTTTTAGTCTTTTTTACCGATTTATATTTTAATTGTAAATTTGTATGTTGGCAACCCTAAATTCATTTCGTTTTCACAACTATATTCGTCTCTTTCTAACACATAACAAAGTAAAGAAACAGACAGATTCTTTGAATCTGTGGGTCGAATGTCAAGGTCCGGTATGTCATACCAGTGCCTTCTATTAAAAGATCAGCCTACGGGCGAGATTTATGACGTCACGCTAGTTAGATATAACGGATTAATAAATATATTGTAGAATACATGGAAAACATAATTATTCCTCAGATTTTTGGTTTGTATTTTAAAAATGATATAGTTTAAATGAAATATACATAATATACAGTTAATAACTACAACATATATACCTATTTATAGTAATAAATACTTTGGCAAATAAACTATGAACCATACAAATGCAGCAAATGTTTTACAATGTACAAATAATGTATAGGTACATAAGATAATGGGTAAAATGTAAATATATTTTAAATTTTGGGGTTTGAAAATCGATCTAATTTAACAAAAAACATTTAATATCTACTAATAGTGATGTATTATTATTTGCATTCACAAAATTTATATGTATATTTTGAAAGTATCAATGTTCGAAAATTTATATTTACAAATAATACAATATTATCTAAAAAAAGGCGTCAGCGATGAATTTATATGTTAAATTATTCTAAAATTTTTGATTTTCTTGGGATTTTTAGGTTCGGGAAAAACGCTGATTAAGTTTTCATTTGGGTTTTCATTATTTTTATTTGGTTTAAAAAAAAACGTTTCGGCTAACTATAGCCTTCACAGTGTTGTGTCATATGAGAAAAATCGTGTCAAATATAATCCAAAAAATTACATATACAATATAATTCACACCTCATAATGTTTACTGCAATTAATAAACTAATATAAACTTATCAAAAGATGACCACATATTTCTTAAAAATTATTATTCTTAACACTAAAATTATCTACATTGACTATGGAGTACGCAGTAAACATTATGTGCGTGGTGTGAATATTTTATATGCAATTTTTTGGATTATATTCGACACTATTTTTTTCATATGACACAACACTGATGGAGGCTATAATGTTAGCCGAACCGTTTTTTTTTAAACCAAATAAAAATAATGAAAAACCAAATGAAAAAATCAATCAGCGTATTTTTCCTGAACCTAAATTCCAAAAAATCAAAAATTTAGAATATTTAGAATCAAGGTTCAAGAATATCAAATTTTCAAGATTGTAAAATTCTAGTTAATTATTTTATGTGTACAGTTATTTAGGGAATGTCATCGATGTTCATTTCCAAGCCAACTAGACGCCGATTTTTTTCGATGATACGGTATAATTCTTACGTAAAATGTAAATAACATTAGACCAATTAAAACAAAGAAATATGAATTTCTTAGTATTTTTAGTAACACCTTTATTCTTAAAACTTAATTTTGTATTATGCAAATATACCAATTTTATTGTTATTTTATTCATATTGTATTCAGCCATCACTTAAATATTTGATATTAATTTGGTATTATAAATAATCAATACTATTCATTAAAATTACTGAACAAATATATGTTATGCTTAACATACATTATATATTATCAAACAAAACACATTCTTCTTTTAAACTGTATCAGTCTTGTCTTTACAAAAATCTTTTTAAAATTTGAACTCAAAATAATAATCTTTTTCATGATCTCTAATACACATATTCTTTATTTTTCCCTAGATCATAATACCTACTTACGTGTTTGAATCTATCGAAGCTGAACCAGCAACACTTGGAGTGGAGATTCCACAATATGAATAAAATAAACATAATTGTCCAGTTTTCATTAATACCATCATGGGAGAATATTATTTTTAAATTTATTAAAGATATTTTCAATAAAATTCTCTTGATTTATAACTCAACCCACTTTTCTTGCTCTTCCGGACACTTTAGGCTGCCTAGTATAATAACTATCCTTAGTAACTATCCTTTCCACCAGGAACACAACAAAGATGAGGCATAGCACCAAAAACACACTCCACTTAAGCTTTATTGATGAATTGTTAGAGTCTTAAAAGACACACACAAAAATCACGATAAGTAAAAAATGTATGGGCACTTTTAGGTTAAATCACTTACACAACGTGTAATTTTTAAAATTTCTATTTTTTTATGCGAAACCGAGAGTGACCATATATCTGGTAGTAGTTTATGTCACTTCAACACCAAAATAATTAGTTTTTTGCACTACAATAATAAATAATACCAAAAATCAAAGAGTTAAAACCAAAAATCAACCGACAAAATATGAAACGGAATCTAACCCAATATCTAAGTATGTACAGCTGATGAAGTAAACAAAAGTCCGCCCGTAGGCTGATCTTTTAATAGAAGGCACTGGTCATACGTCAAAATTAAAAAAAAAATTGGAAAATGTCTGTGTGCTGAAAAATAATACTCATTTTGCCAATTTTATCGTTAACTAACTGTTTTTTCGCAATAAATTTTAAGTATACTTTTCGTTAAAATGCTAAATTATATGTGAAGTGATATCTTGAATCGTTGTTCCTAATTTTTTGTTAGATATTAGTGCCATTTGTGCGGGTATTGATTTTTACAATATATTGTTTTCTTTTTCGCAATCTTTTTTAACACACCAAAGGTATTCCGAAATATGAGATGTATAAAAGTGAGTACACCATTTTAATTTACTTATTTATAATATCCTCATTAACTCAGTTCAATTAAATGATTTGTCACAACATGGGACGAATTTAAATGAGATGTCCTTGAAAGTTTGTACTTTTATTTTGTATGCCTAGGAATTAACAAGTATGAAATATTTTGGCCTAAAAACTTAGAAAGAATAACGTTGGTTTAATTTAAAGTATGAATAATCCTCTGATCATATATTGAATAAACTAGAGGTTAGGTCATGAACGAATGTTGCTCAGCGGAGCAATGTATCTTGAAGTAATGCCAATTCTAGTTACTACAAAGGTGTGTTAAGTTTGTTTATAATTAAATAATATTAACAATGGATTTTACATATTTAGTACTCTCATTAGAACTGTGTTTTAGTCATTTTTTTCTCAAAAATAAGAACTTAAAATGACACTGAAATTTGATTTCTAATTTATAATATACTATCAATTTATCTACAGACTTTCTTTATATCGAATTAATTCACTAATGTATCTCATTTATCGTGCTATGTAATTGTATAACTGACATCATTTATTATTTATAGAAATTTTTATAGTTTTATGTAACCGTTTACTGTTAACTGTCGTTGCCTTGCAATGGAACAGGTTTTTAATTTTTAATACTTTAAAACAATAAGTTAGCGGTCTAAATCTTTCATCAATATAAAATTTATCACATTCACATGGTATTTTGTCTTTTATCACATTTTTTCTTTGTTGTGCAGTCTTTATTTTTTAATGTGTTGTTGATTTCAAAAACCTTAAATATAACTTAAAAGCTCCACATGAAAAGCTTGACGTGCTTCCAAGTTTTTCTCTACTTATTGTGGTTTGAAAGAGCTTTCTTTAATTATAGATGTTTGTTGTAACAGCCTAGATTTCAGTGAATTTGGTTCATACAGAAGGGTTTCTAAAATCGTTTGTATAGCTAATTTTTGTTAAACAAAATTTTTATATTAGGTTCATTCCAACCAGCAGTAATTTCCAGTAATATTACCGTCAGGCATGCGCATTCGTACAATGTCGTTCCAACCGGCCAAAATTACAAATTCAGAACTTGTGATTATCGTCAGTTCGTCGTTCCAACCGGAATTATCGATGGTAAAATTACGGTTCAAACGATTCTGCCTTGAGAGCAAGAACTGTTGGTTCTAAAATTAGAGGCATGCGCAGTAAGGTCGAAATAGCGGTCAGCTGGGTAGTATAGTATAAACTAGGTTAGGGAGTTGTTTTTGTTTATCTTTTTTGTTTGGAAAAATTTAAGAACGACTTTCTCTATTTATTTAAAGTATTTAAAAATTACAAATATGAATATGGAAGGTAATTTACTAATTATATATATTTTTGTTAAATAAATACCATTTTTATCTTATATGAGCAGGCATGGAAGAATTCGTTATTGTGGTAGAAAATGAAAATAATCCGCCTTCTACTACTACTTCTGCTGCTGCATCTGCTGTAGAGCTTTTTTTTTGGACCAACAACAATACAAGGCTCTTAATCGACTTGTACAAAAAATATAAAAGCAAAGTGGGAACAATGGGGATGAAGAATTTTAAAACTATGTGGGAGAAAATAGCAAATGAGATTTCAGAAATATTGCAGAAAACAGTAACATCCAAAAATGTTGAAAACAGGTGGAAAGTACTTGACCGCAATTTCAAAAAATATGTTGACAATAAAAATTCAACAGGACGTGGTAGAAAGTTCTTTGAGTTTGCGTCGGAAATGGAAGAAGCTTGTGGTAACAAAAAGAATATAAGGCCAGAAATTTTACTAGCAAATGAAATTCACATGCCAAAGCAAGAAAATGTTGAGCAAGGCCAAGGCCAAGAAACTGCTGAAACACCAAAAAAAGTGATAAGAAGGAAGACCAGGAAAACAGTACTACAGCAGATCCGAGAGGACCGGCTTTCTTACCAAGAAAACAGAAATCGGTTTCTTCAACAGGTTCATCAAGACCAATTAAGTTTGCTTCGTGAACGAAATGAAATTGAGAGAGAGAGAAATGAAATTGAAAAAGAGAGAAACAATATTCTTTTAACAAAAAAGTGCAATTGTCATATATATGAAACCCTATAGGGAGTATTGATTTATTTATTTGTTTTTCTTTAATTACATAAGTTAAGAGTTCCTATTTGTTAATTTATGGTAGTTATTTATTTTGTTGTTTTTTAATTTGATATTAATGAATCTCTATTTGTTTATTTTTTTTTAAATAAAAATTTGCATGTTTCATTTGATATTGAAGTTTGTGATAGACTTTGACAAAATAATTAAAAAAAATTTATTTTGAAAAATATTATAAACAGTACTTTTAATGTAAATTATTTACAACAAAATTTCTAGCTCTTTGTGCATCTCGATCACCATCCAAATCCATTTCATCATCAGGATCATCTATAACATGGGGCATATCTACAGGTAGCACTTCAATTTCTTCCAGAAACTCATCTGCCAAAGCAATATTGTGCAAAACACAAGCTGCCCTTATGAGATGTACTATGTACTCCATTTTCCGCAATTTTATATGGTACATTTGTCTAAATTTCTGTTTTAGTACTCCAAAACAGTGCTCAATTACATAGCGATTTCTTGCTAATCTCACATTATAACGAGTTTGTTCCTCTGTCAATTGTCCTCGGTCCTTGAAAGGTGTCAAAAGATTAGCACAAAGTGGGTAACCACTATCTCCAAGGAGAAAATATTGTCCACATTTTTCTGCAAGTGTTTGGCTCAGAGAAGAGTTTCGATATACCCTACTATCGTGGACTGAACCAGGATATCCAATAAATACATCCCTAATTTTAAGTGTATGATCACAAACAACTTGCATCTGTAAGATGATTCAAATGAGTACCTACTAATACTTATAATAATAATAGTTATCTAAGCTAAACTTACTTGAACAGAATAATAACCCTTTCTGTTAATGTATGAATCCGGGTCATTCTCCGGCTTATCAATTTTCAGGTGAGATCCATCAATGGCACCAATAATATTGGGAAACCCATTGGCTTGGAAATGTTCAGCAATTTCTAGTTTTTCAGCTGCATTAGGCCAAACTATGACTTGAGGGGCCAAATTGCTAAGGAACACGGACACTCTTTGTATAATCCTTTCTAGGGATGACTTTGTTATGTTAAATCTATCGGACACATCTGCAAAACTCGCAGCTTCATGCCCAATAAACCACAAAAATATTAATATCTGAAAATTTAGTATATTTATCAATAAAATTGTACAATAAAACCTTAAATAATTCATTTACTTACATGATTGTGAGCAGAAATTTTTCCAAATTGACCACTATCATTCTTATAATACTCACTCCCTTCAAATGAGTCTCTAAGTTCAGTTGCCACATGTCTGGATACTCGGAAGTTAGAAAAAAATTCTTCTTCCGAATAATTTAAAACTGTTTCTTCTAAATTAAACATTAATTTTATTAAAATATATTTTTATATAAACTCAACAAACCTAGGAAATTCTCATTTCTTGTGGCAATATCCCCAAGAAAATCCAAATCTTCATCTTCTGAAGAAGAAACATTAAACAAATAATTTACTGCCATTATGGACGCCGGCACAAAAACTAAAGGACAAAAAAGAAAAGAACAAGACGCTCGGTTGCTCGGAACCTCAGGAACTTGGGATGAATATTTTTAGGTTATTGTTATTGTGTTGCCAGCCCAGCTGTTTACTTTCCATCCCAGTATTCCCAGTTCTAAAAACGTTCCAACCAGTTTATAAGTTCATCCTAGTAACTTAACCGGTTTCGCTCGCGCAGGCGCATTAACGCAATTACTAACGATAATATTACCGTAATATTATTGCAGGTTGGAACGAACCTATTATGTTTATCCATATAGGATTTTATCCAGCCTTAATACTTAAAAAAAAGTACCATTCGATCGAGAGAAAAACGACGTCAAAGACGGCTGGGATGATAATTTTGGCGAGGTCAAGCCCTAGACGCCATTTACTTGGCCCGTAGTACTCTTCGTTATTTTTTAGTGGGGCTTACTGCCAGTTGGCCTTAAGAAGGTTTTAATTTAGTTTTATATTGAATAAAAATGATTTTTAAATGGTGTGATTAGTTACACGAGGAAAAAACCTCGTCAAAATTATCATTGATTCCTCAGCCGTTTTTGACGCCGTTTTTTTTCGATCATACGGTACCATCACTGTTAAAAACTGGATTATTCTGTATATTAAAAAATATTTTAATTTTCATATTAATCACTACTTTTTAATTGTTTTGTTTATTTACTTTTGATCATGTTTGTTTACTCTTCACGTTTAACCATTTACCAATCCCCCAAGTTTGACCTTTCTTTTACTTATTCTATGGTTGACCACCACCATTATACCTATATTAGTACTGCCTACCTGAGTTCCAGCATCTTTTGATCAAGATATACCTTAAATTAAATGACATACAACTGCAAAAAGAAAGTACAAACAAATTTAAATAAGCTTTATTTGTGAATTTGTGAATCTTCAGTTGTAGTTTTGATGTTGAGGAGACTCCTCAACATCTCAATCATTCTTGTTTTTGAGTAAGTTTTTTTTTGTTTAGACAATAATTTTTGTTATTTTTTATTTATGTTAAGTTTTATATTTTTTACATTGGATTGTTGTCATCATTTGTATCTTTATTATTTAATATAATTAAATAATTTTAATATAAAGCTTTTTTGACAAAAACTATAAATAAATTATAGTACTTACCTTAAAGTAGGTACTTTTGAAATACCCTCATAATCTCATCCATTTTGTACATGCCTGTTTGTTATTTTTACTGTAACTTTTTCACATTCAAACATCACAGATTCTTTCTTCACAATCGAAATTTTATACATTTGGGTATTTAAGAGAAAAATTTCTTTTTGGTACCAACCGAAGTACTTTTGTGTATATGCGAACCAAGTCACGTACGTATAGAGTACCTATTGAAAAATTGCACAAGTTGGTTGTACCTGCGTGCGACCTTCATCTCTTAGTTGTCCAAGATTAAATAATACTTTGATATATAAGGTGTTTCTGAACAAGTGTCCGATATTTTACAGGGTGATTTTTCAAGTATTTTAAGGTAAAAAGTTTATACAGGGTTGTTCACCACATACGACACGGAGTATTGTAGCTAAACGATTAGATTTTTACAAATTGTAAGTTTTGGGTTCGTTGAAGGACTATTAAAGCTACAATTTAAAAATATTTTTACAAGATACAGGTGTCCCAAATAAGTAAAAAATATTATAGTTGTATTTTTTTAAATAGAACAGCCTGTATATTATTCTATTTTTGGATTCTACGATTGAAATAAAGGTAAATTTGATTAAGGTTTATCACACTTAAACCTTACCGTTCTTGAAATAATTTCAATTTTATGAAATTGCAGAAAAAAATTTAAGGCTTTATTTCTCCAAGGGTATAAAAGTTTTTAATACTAAATATTTACTGAAGATTATTTATTGGTCATATATTGTGTTGCAATAATAAAATTTTTACGACCTAATACAGAGTGTCCAAAATTTTTTATTAAATAATTACTAGCTTTAAACGGCAATAACTTGTTTAATTTAAATGGAACACCCTATATATTTTACGTGAATCAGATACATAATGTAATTGTCTATCAAATTGTATTGTTCCATTTTTTACCCATCTCTTTAAGTTTTCATAGAAAATGCATTTTCTTATAGTTTAGACCTCATTTATCACTATACCCATGGAATATTGACATTTTAGCTTATTTTTAAAGATGTAACAAATTTTCAAAGGGTACATATACTAATATTGTTGATATAGTTCGCTTATTTAATTAAAAAATAAAAAAAAAACTGTTTAAATATTTTTTGTTAGAGGACCAATTAATATGATCCCAGTATTCAAACTACATTAATTGACTGTTTACGTTGTAGTAATAAAATTTGTTCCAAATACTAAAAAACTGAATTTTGTGTGTGTATTACACAGTGTGGTAAAAAGTAACACCTTATAAATTTTATTTCATATATTGACGAATGCTTTTTTATAAAAAAACAGAGACATTTAGACATTAATTTTCATAACTTATTATTATATTGATTTTTGAGCCAAATCCACATTTATTTAGAATAATTTATTAATTAAAACAATTTAAAAGTATGTAATTAACTAATTTTTGGTGTTTTTGATAGGAAATAATGGTGGTATATTTAATTGGTATACTCTTTTACAAAGATTTAAATAGTTTTTTTGTATGCCAATGGGCATGCAATATTTACCACCTGTACATTTTGTACATATTATGGTGCTATAAAAAAATCTGAAATGTCAATATTCCATGGGTATAATGATAAATGAGGTCCAAATTATAACAAAATGCAATTTCTACGAAAACTTGAAGAGATGGGTAAAAATGGTATAATACAATTTGATAGACAATTACATTGTGCATCTCATTCACGTAAAATATATAGGGTGTTCCATTTAAACGAAACAAGTTATTGCCGTTTAAAGCTAGTAATTATTTAATATAAATTTTTGGACACTCTGTATAAGGTAGTAAAATTTTTATTATTGCAACACAATATCTGATCAATAAATAATCTTCAGTAAATATTTAGTATTAAAAACTTTGATACCCTAGGAGAAATAAAGCCTTAAAATTTTTACTGCAATTTCATAAAATTGAAAATATTTCAAAAACGGTAAGGTTTAAGTGTGATAAACCTTAATAAAATTTTACCTTTATTTCAATCGTAGAATCCAAAATAGAATAATATACAGGGTGTTCCATTTAAAAAAATACAACTATAATATTTTTTACTTATTTGGGACACTCTGTATCTTGTAAAAATATTTTTAAATTGTAGCTCTAATAGACCTTCAACAAACCCAAAACTTACAATTTGTAAAAATCTAATCGTTTAGCTACAATACTCCGTGTCGTATGTGGTGAACAACCCTGTATACAGGGTGTCCCAGGCTGAGCAACTTTCTAGAGAACTACAATATCTAGATCGGAGATTTTTTGCACATCATTGTTTCACAACGAGATGTATCGATTAAAAATATTTTCAATATGACGGCATTTCCGGAAATACCGGAAGTTGACAGCAACTTCCTTATTTTAAATCCTACTCCCATTTTTTATTACATACCTAAATTCTCTGTAAAATTTTATGAATTTTGATATCAAACACTCTATACCTAACATTAATCATTTTTGAGAAAAAAAAATATTTAAATTTTTTGGAGGAAAAAAACTGCCTGTCAAAAAAATTTGTACAGCCTAAACGTCAAATTTAGTGATTACCACAGTCACTGTGACATAAAGAGAGGACTTGGGGCTATCTATTTCAAAAATTACATTGTTCGAATGTCAAATAATATTGGCCGTAACTGTCAAGGAATTGAGTGATTAAAAAATTATTATAAATCATTCTTTTTCAAATGGAAACCCTGTTTTTGTTTCACTAGTGAAAAGGTTTTCCAGTTCGTTACTTTTTGATTATACAGGTTCCTATACCTAAAATAAATCGTTTTTAAGTTATTTAAGAGATAGTTTCAAAGCGTAATAATTTTCTTGATTTTATTTAGCTTCCTTTGACGTTAAGTGTCAAAGTAATGAGTGTTCTGAATGAGGCTTTTGACTTGATTAAATTTCATGTTCTCTAACGGGAAAACTAAGTACTTTTGCAATATTGTGACACCCTGTATATTAAAGGAAAGCCTTTTTGAATAATTTTTTATTTTTATGATGTTTTGCGAAAACTTTTTTTATTTCATCTAATTCTGACTCAATTTTTATTACATTTATTTTGCGTATTTCTAGGTATCTTTTGCGATAAGGATTTTTTTTTGGATAAGTATTATTACCGGGAATATTTGTACACCTAATCTATGTTATCTGATGTGACTGACAAACCAATTCAAAAAGGTTGCTCTGTATAGGAATCTCCTAGACTCTTTTAATTGTTTTTGTCTTTTGCAGTAATTTGTTTTCAACTGATCTTGGATAATTCTTATGTAATAGAGTGATGAAAAATGTGAAAGTGATATAAGTGTTTTGATAATTTTTCACGCCATAATATTTGGATTATATTTTGAGTAAGTGCTGCGAGTGTTATCTTTGTTTGTATGTACTCTGTATCAGAGGAGGCTGTACAGGCTTTGTGGAACTATACAAAAATACAAAATGAAGAATATGATTTCAGGCGGTTGTATATTTTATTTTATTTTTTTTAGTCCCCCTAACCTAACCAACTATACAGGGTTGTTCACCACATACGACACGGAGTATTGTAGCTAAACGATGAGATTTTTACAAATTGTAAGTTTTGGGTTCGTTGAAGGACTATTAGAGCTACAATTTAAAAATATTTTTACAAGATACAGAGTGTCCCAAATAAATAAAAAATATCAGAGTTGTATTTTTTTTAATGGAATACTCTGTATATTATTACATTTTTAGTTTCTACGATTAAAATAAAGGTAAATTTGATTAAGGTTTATTACACTTAAACCTTACCGTTTTTGAAATATTTTCAATTTTGTCAAATTGCAGTAAAAATTTTAAGGCTTCATTTCTCCAAGGGTATCAAAGTTTTTAATACTAAATATTTACTGAAGTTTATTTATTGATCAGTTATTGTGTTGCAATAATAAAAATAATACTACCTTATACACAGTGTCTAAAAATTTATTTTAAATAATTATTAGCTTCAAACGGCAATAACTTGTTTAATTTAAACGGAACACCTTGTATATTTTACGAGAATCAGATGCACAATTTAATTGTCTATCAAATTATATTATACCACTATTGACATTTTAGATTATTTTTAAAGATGTACCAAATTTTTAAAGAGTACAGATACTAATATTGTCGATATAATTTGTTTATTTTATTAAAAAATAAAAAAAACTGTTTAAATATTTGTTAAAGAGGACCAATTAATATGATTCCAGTATTCAAACTACATTAACTAACTGTTTGCGTTGATTAATAATAATTGCTCCAAATACTAAAAAACTGAATTTTGTATGGGCATTAGACAGTGTGATAAAAAGTAACACCTTAAAAATGATATTTCATTTTTTAATAAATGCTTATTTACAACAACAGAGACTTTAATTTGATAACTTATTATGATATTGATTTCTGACTCAAATCCACATTTATTTATAATAATTTATTAACGAACACAATTAAGTATGTAGTTAATTAGTATTTGGGCGGAAATAATGGTGTTATATTTAATTAATGGCATACTCTTTTATAAAGATTTAAATAGTTTTCTTTTTGCATACCAATAGGCTGGTAATATTATCGTTTTTAGCACCTGTACATTTGTTGCTTTAAAAACGATCTAAAATGTCAATATTCCATGGGTATATTGATAAATGAGGTCAAAATTATAAGAAAATGCATTTTCTACAAAAACTTGAAGGGATAGGTAAAAA